AAAGCGTGTAAACATTTTGACGTAAACATCATGATGAAACACATTACCGATTTCGATATAAGGATCGCCATATTGCGGCTTCTCCCGCGACTTGTAACACGCCAAAAACGCTCGCGAGCTAATTTTGCTAAGTTTTGTTTCTCGCGTTGTGTTTGCAACTCGTTAACGCAACACACACGGTTTGTTTCATTAAAAAAAAAAAAAAAACAAAAACAAGTTTATCACTCATAATCTAGGCCAGTACAACAGCGAGTTGAACGGTATATGTTTATGTTGCGTTCAATAACTCTTGCGAAATTGACGACAAAGTCAATAATCGGCGGAACGTTTTTCAACAAAACAAAGCGAAATGGAAAACTTGATCGGTGCGAAAAAAAAACGAATAATTTTGTTTCTGTCTCAATATTTCATTTGAGGAATAATAGCACACAAAATCGTAAATTTGTCAGAAGACAATTCGTCTTCTCTTGGATATTAAATAGAAATTCTTAAAACAGGAATAATTTATTCAACCGAACGTGTGTAAAAACTTGCTTTGTCGATAAATCGTACCAGAAAAAGTGCGACGCACACGCGCGCAGAACAAGATTTACGATAATATTTAACGCAAAGTCATAAATATTCCTATTTTCTCTATTATAACACACAAAAATATGTATCTGTCCGTACAAAGGGGAACTGTGCTATCGAAAAAAATAAACGCCGATTATAAAACAAAAAACCTCATACATGTTCTAAAATCTGCAACATTAAAGCCACAAAAAATTATTGACAGTGCGTTCAACTTTAAATATTTTTAATGCAATAATTTTAACACAGAACATGTATAATAAAAATCCTAATTTCACGGAGAGAATTAAATGGATAATTCGTGCGATGCGAAACAAGCATCCAATTATGAAGTTCGAATTGATTTCAGTTCGAATTATTGTATGACAATTTACACGTTTAAAAAACTTATTTTTTCGCGCACATAATAGGAGAGAGCAAAATTTGTAAATTTCTTGATAAATCCTAAACTCAATTAGGATTTATCAACAAATTATTGCGCGTATATAAGTTCCGGCTATGTGACAATTATCTATCTAAAACATCTGACAAATTTTTGAAAAGTTTTTCAAAACCCACCACGACGAGCAATTACAAACCTATCGCACTAATCATACGGGTGAGTTATAGAGGCTCCGGGAGGAGATTGGAAACGTCGTGTAGATCTCAACCGCATCGTCGACGAAATCGTCGTCTGCATTTACGAGGTGTGAAGGAACGGAGTCGCGAAAAGGAGCAGCGGCTTACTGTGTACATACATGTATGTACGCGTACATACGTATATATACACACGTATCGTGTATATGTAGACGAGGCGGCGCGCCTTCGGCCGAAACGAAATCGCGGTACCGCAGGATGATGGTATGGCTACGTTTGCGCCGGCTTTGCCTCCACGCAGTACATATCGATAGTCGCGAAGTCGACTTCGACGACGGGGAAACAGGGGGAACAGGAGGTACCGCGGGGTGCCGCGGAGGCGGCAATGTGGAGCGGGTAGAGGTGCGGGGATTACGCGGCGGTACGTGAGGTCGGGGGCGGGAAAGGGGGACGCGGAACAGGAGGGGTGAGAGAGGAGGGTTGTGCGCGGGGCGGCGCAGGCTGAAGTGGGGGGAGGGGGGACGGGCAAGAGCGATTCAACCTCCTTTCACTTTCAACGAGCACGCTCGCTCGCTCGCTCGTTCGCTCGTTCGTTCGTTCGTTCGTTCGTTCGTTTTATGCGACTACTCGGTGTACGAAAATAGGCAACGCCGCCGTTTTCGCCCGAGAGCGCGCGCCCCTGCGAGAGTTCAGAGGCGACGAGTGTGTGTCGCGACCGACCTTCTCGACCCACAATGGTGGTCTACGAGGGTGGCGTCGCGACGACGTGCTGCTCTCGGATCCTAGAGATACGTTAATTTTGTGAAAGACTAGGAGAGGAGAGACGAGTGGACGAGCTTTTGAGCTCGTGATGAAGAGCTTTCGAGCTTCTCTCCATATAACGCGAAATGTGTGCGCACATAAAGCGGTAATTCACATTAAATTCATACCGTCGACTGATGACATTATCGCTCCGATATTTATGATAATTTAATCTCCAATCAATCTAGTAATTTACACACTACGATCTTTGATATCGTATTTATTTCTTCGAGAGACGCACATATAGACGTTTTACACTACATCAGACACTCGTCGCGCATTGATTTCTTTCGCATATTGATTCGCTCGTTACTTTCAATTTCGAAATTGAACAAGTCAAATAATTGACGGAATTTTTGACAAACAATTGAAAACAAAAAAAAAATCCAACAATTTTTGCAACTTCTTTGAAAAAGAACGGGAAATTTCGCATTATCAGATACAAAAGAGGCGTTGTAATCTTTCCATCTGGGACAGTTCTCTGTATCACGAAGAAGGAAGGAGGAAGACTTCAACAATTATTACTTATGCTTTTGACGGACAAAGAAAATGTCATCTATTTTTTTTTGAGTCAGTGTTTTATTGAGGGTCATTGTTAAGATGATTTACCACCGCAATTTGTCTCAAGTTAAATACGTTTTTTCTTCTCTATAGATAGCGTTCCGAGCGGCATGTCTTTTATATTTTGCATGTTGTAGGAAATGACCACCCGCGCGGCGGGCATCTCGGACCGACTGACAAGCGTGGAAAATCATGTTCCTTACACGAGATGATTTCGAATCATGGAAGAGACCATAATAAGTCATTCATTGTTCGTTACATCATGAACCTTGCCTCGTGCCTATGACTTCAGCTTCACCCATTTTCTCGGGAATAGAGTTTATTCAGAAAAAAAAAGTTACCCTTTATCGGTTATAACGTAATATTGTTAAATCAAGCTTAACGTTATTGTCCGGAGTATTGACAGTCGGAGCGTAAGCGGACAATGCGGCTCCGATGATGCGAAAAGTTTGTCGTTTCGCACTTTCCCATTTGGACACCGGGTGGTGGTAAAACCGAGCACAATGATTTTTCTCGAAAGAAAGTTTTGACACGTTCAAATGATATTAGGCGAATATATGAGACTCGGCTTTATTACGATGGGTTCTCGTGACATTTTCCAATGAATTTAGCAGATATGTGATATTTTAATCGTTCAGTTTCAAAAGCGTTCAGTTTTAATAATAATGAAAAAAAGTAACAATCGTACGCAAGATCTATGTTTCGCTTGAAAAACTGAAAACTTTTCATCAAAAAATAGCTTCTGTCACCGATCTTTTTCAAAAATGATAACAATAATACACGTTACGAGATACGGAAGAATCTTCTTGAACGAAGATTTATCTAAGGCACGCGAGACCCTATTGTGCGTCTCGTGTGGCAAATGCACACAGTCGAAATGTGGAAACTTGCCGCAATAAGTAACGATATTTTACTGTCAAGCTTTGATGGGGTCTGAAAACAAATGAGCGCGACAAATGTGTCCAGTCTTCTTTGAATGACGAGAAAACGTCACAAACACGTACTCTCGGATTACCGATCCCAATCGACTTGCAGATCTGCCGCAGATGGTGTTCGTTATCGGAAAGAAGCCGGACGTGTGTGTGTGTGTAAATGTATGTATATATATATATATATACGTGGATTTAAATGCATCCCTCCGATAACGTCGTTAATAAAAACGTGGACGTTTGGAACAAGCGACCGCCGAACATGGTGGTGATTCGCTCGTCGCGTGCAAAGTATTACGCTCGCGTTCCGTTTATATATTGCAACTACGCGCGCGCGTGCACGACACACGCGCGTGTGTGTAACAGAAATAGAAGTGCGGTGCGCGCACTCTCACGCTTTTGTCCTACTTATCTGCCGATTAACCGTGACTTCCGCTTTCGTCGACGTCCGACTCAGAAGACCGCTTCCCCAAGGTTGCTTCGTTCGATCGCGCGCAGTCACGCCCGCGAGATTTCCCTCGATTCTTGAATGGCGTTGAGAACACGAACAAAACGCCGTTTTTAGTTGGCGGATCGCGCTCTCCTGCGCTCCGATCACATGTCGATCGCGTTATTGTAGTCAATCTCGCGCGTTGCCTAATTCGTGCGAATTGCACGCATTAGGAAAATTGTTGTTGATTGTTTCGTTGAGTAAAGTCGCGCAAATCGGACGCAGATCGAGCGCGAGAGATGTGTGTCGGTTACAACGATCGATCTTGTTTTTACACTCATTAAATCTCAATTAATATTAACATATTTGTGTTTTTACACGTTTCGAATCTCGCCAGAGATTTCTTGATTGGTAAACACACTTTCGAAAAGTAAACATCAAGTTGGTGTTCAAAATAAGATACAAAATGTCTGCAAGGTCATATGTAATCGTTTGTAGTTTCATTGGTTTTCTCCGAATATTTGACCGAGTTTTTTGTTTTCAAGGATTTTTGCGCGTATAATGAAAGACTCGGTTGTGCGCGTGTAAAACAAGAGATGGATACGTTTCAAATGTCACTTATCTTGTTTTACACCCGAGCCTTTTATATGTAATTTCTATACGTATTTCTGTGTGTGTTAGTTGCCGAGTGGAAAATAGGCCAGCACCAGAGATAGTGCGAAAAGTGAAATACCACAAGTTTTAACTTTTACTTCTAAAAGTAAATGAATCAAACAAACAACTTTGTTTATTAGAAATTTGATTAATAACATCATTATTAAAAAAGAAAGAAATCTTTTAGTGCGCGGCTCGAAGTTTTCATTCGAGACTAGAATATATGCGAATATATTGATCTTTTTGTGTAGATTTATTTATCTTACATTTCCTCAGAAATTTATACAGCGACTCGACCTTCGGGATAAAATCTCGGCGCATTTAACGGCGCACAAAAATTTGTTTCGCGCTCGCAGCGAAGTCCGTCAAGGATAAAGATCTCTCAGTATATTATTTCCTTCTCTTATTTAAGAAATACAAAAAAAAAAGTCAATTGTTCGCGTTTCACATAAATCGGCGATTCTTCTGTTCTGTTCCAGCTGTGCGAGCGGATAGGATGCGAGGCGGTAGGAACAAATTCGGACCCATGTACAAGAGGGACAGAGCGCGGAAGTTGCAGCTCATGCGTCAAAGGCAACTGGCGATTCAAACGATACGCGGTAGCCTCGGTGGCGATCCATCCAGCTACACGTCCGCGGTGTCGCCGTTGCTGCACATCAAACAGGAAATACAAATACCTCAGGTCTCGAGTCTGACCTCATCGCCTGACTCGAGTCCGTCCCCCGCGACTGTGGCCGCTGGTCTGGTTACGACGCAAGCGGGCAGCGGAGCCGGTCAGCATCAGCTGATCGCGCCGTCCACTCAGCCAAACCTCGGTGCCAGCGGTGGCAATCACCTGCACAACCTCAACTCCGCCCTGGACAGCAAGCTCTGGGCTGCCAACTCCACGACCCCCGGCACGAAGACCTTCAACTTCGGCGAGCAGTCCGCGCCGCCCCACGGCGCCAGTACCGTCGGTTACGGCTCCAACCCCGCTGCCTCTCTGAAAAATAGTCAGATGATAAGGGACTTCCTAGCGTCGATCGACGATCGCGAGTGGCAGACGTCTCTCTTCGGACTCTTGCAAAACCAAACGTACAATCAGTGTGAAGTGGACTTGTTCGAATTAATGTGCAAAGTGCTCGACCAGAATTTATTCTCACAAGTGGATTGGGCTAGAAATTCTACGTTCTTCAAGGATCTCAAGGTAAGTATCGCAGAGTTTGCGACTTTTCAGCACAAATATATATATATATATATACAACATAAGTTTCTTTTTTACTTTCATTTATCGCGACTTTGATTGGTAACTCGCGTTTTGGTTTGTGTTTTAATTTTTTATTTAATCAATAAAAGAATTTAAGTCTCAATAGAAGAAAAAACGCTGAGATGTGCCTCGACATAAAAATATAAACAAACGATATTACAAATAAACTAATCGTAATTGCAACGGTAGTTGCTAATTGTGTGTTGTCGAGAATCTCCTTGTCGAAAGAAGTTTGTTCTTACCGATAAATAACTCGGTTGCTTGGCCTGCTCGTGGCATGAGCGGGGATGTGAGGTAACCAAAGGCATTGCACAATCGCTGAATGATTTCAAAAGCATCGCATCATATCTGGGTCATAACAAGATACGTTTCTGGGTTATGGCGGTTGCCCCAAAGCAGGACCGCGTAAAACCGCATACTTCAACCAGCTATTTTTATAATAACATTTTAATATCACAAGAAATATACATATATATATATATTAATAAATATATCTTAAAATATATCTTAAATAAAAAAGTTATATCACCTATAAATTTTTCATGTGACACGTTGTGCAACCACAGAATTTTAGTACATAATAGTCGTATTTGTATGTGTGTGTTACTTCATCAAAATTCTTCGCAAAATAAATGTTTATATACGAACGAGAAAAATTTATATACATATATATATCCGTGTTATTGCGATGCTTCGTTACATTACATCAAAATATAAACAAGCGACAATGTCATGTAAGATATTTTAAATGAATTGTATAATAAATTATATAATTTTTATGTAATATTGGTATAATGTAATATGTTGAAAAAAGATTGTGCATAAAAATATTATCTTGCCCGTGTTGTTAATGATAATAATAATGATATCAATAAAACTTTATCTGATAGCAGGCATCGAATTATATTAAAGGGTAACGAATTGTTGTTAATATTTACGCAAAGTGTAAATTTTTTATGCGGTAGGTTGACGATCAAATGAAGCTGTTGCAACATTCTTGGTCGGATATGTTGGTGCTGGATCACCTTCATCAAAGGTTACACAATAATCTACCCGATGAGACGACACTTCACAATGGCCAAAAGTTTGATCTCCTTTGCCTCGGCCTACTCGGAGTTCCTACCTTGGCCGATCTCTTTAACGATCTATCCAAGAAACTTCAGGAACTAAAATTCGACAACACCGATTACATATGCATGAAATTTCTAATGCTACTGAATCACGGTAGGTGAATTTCGCACGCGCGAACACACGAAGTGTTTTAAGAAACAACGAGATTAAATTAGGAGACGATAAGACTGTTTTTGTTTGTCCAAGCACACGTACACACACACACACACACATACACACAGTGTCGGGTCATTACATATCGGAGTCGAAATCTTGTGTTTATATTTTGTTTTGTTAGAAAACAATCGTGTTTTACTTCCTTTTTGTAAACATTCTACATTCTGTACAATACAAATCGCTTCTTACTTCGTGTCTCATTGTATGTGCATTTAAATTGCAGATGTTCGCGGATTAGTGAACAAGAAGCATGTGCAAGAGGGTCATGAGCGCGTGCAACAGACGCTTATGGAGTACACGCTAACTTGTTATCCGTCTGTACCAGTATGTATTATTTGTGAAATGCTGTCTCTCTCTTTTCATGTGCCCAAAAACCTAAGATACGACAGCAAATAACGGATATTAGTCTTAGTTCGATTATTTCGTTGCAGGATAAATTCAACAAGCTGTTAGCAGTATTACCAGACATCCATGAGGTGGCGACGAGGGGAGAAGAACACCTTTATCAGAAGCATTGTAACGGGAGCGCACCGACGCAAACACTTCTAATGGAGATGCTTCACGCCAAGAGAAAATGAAACGACCGTTCTTTCCTGGTAATTTATGCCATCGAATACATTTCGTTGCTATAAATAAATATAAGTGTATATGTGTATCTTTCTCTCTCTCTCTCTCTCTCTCTTTCTCTCTCTCGAAAGTTGTGGTAGCGCCCCTAATTTCTTGAGAAAGAGTGTGGACCTCAAAGTACCTATTTAAAAGCTAAAATGCTGCTAAGGTATCGGACCAAGTTAAAGGGGGCTCTGGTTCAAGAAATACCTGTGCATACAAATCAAGTACATAGACGTACATACTTTACAATATATATATATATAAATATATATATAGTATATGTATTATAAAAAAATGTATCTAAATATATAAACACATATATTTTCTATATTTGATGTTGAAGTTTTAGAGTTGTATCCATGGAGAAAATTACCCCTGTTGGTGGGTATATACACAAGCGCAGGGAAACAGTAAGCAAGATGCCTTGAAAACAGTACAAAGGGTGGTTTAAAAAAAAAAAAAAAAAATATTGGTCAAAGGGCAGGGCAATTGAAATAAGTAAAGATATTTTTCTAATACTTAGATGCGAATTTATTTTTAAGCATACCACTGAAGCCTTGCTCTCTCTCACACACAAACGAAATACAATTATACCGTACTAAAAGAGAATCGAAGTCTCTCTCTTCTCCAGATCAATCGTGCTTCTGGGATTCAATGGGCATACTTGAATGACAGTAACTTGCATATAATATACATATGTGTTTGTTGCACGGCCACCTGGGCATCCTTAGTATTTCCTATTTAAAAAAGAAATCTGCATTTTTTGTCACACATTTGCATGCAGCAAAAGTACTATGTATTGTAAATACTAGTTAACATTCCAATTATGTTTGTAAAAAAAAAAAAAAACAAATGTTAAATAATGTAATTAAATACAATAATTTGTGTATAGTTGAATAATGAAATGAAATAAATATATTTCTGTTATTTGGAGAAAAAATTATTAGCTACTTAATGTCTTCACTAATTTTAAGGTGTTACGCATATATTTCTCTTTATTATTTTTTAAATAGGTGGCGGAAAAAAAAACAGGAAAACTACAAATTGCGATATTTTACTATTGTATGTTGTACCATAATAAAGATTCTGTGTTGTTTAAGAAATAAAAAGAATTATTGGAGCAAGGTTTATGTGGTCCTATGTTGTTTAGCGATTAATTCTAAATACATAAAAATAAAACCAACATTAACCGTATCACACAGTTGTTTTAAATAGAGAAATATTTAGTAAATGTTAAGCGAGATATATATATATAAATAAATATATATATAGCGATCGAAAGTAGTAATTTTTCACTAATAGATTATAATTAATATTATTATTATTATTATTATTATTATTATTATTATTATTATTGTTTAGCCAATAGTCAGAAATTCTTCAGTGCTGTGAAGGTTGTCTTTTCGACGCCTGTGGTATCAAAACAAAAAAAAAAAAAAAACAAGCCATTGGGAATTTATATTGTGTGTGTCAGATGTAAAGCTTCTACGTGACAACAGAGACAGAAATCTTTCCTCTGGTACTGCTAGATTGGTAATATTACCCGTTGCAACTTCTCTTGTTTTTAATCCACGTATCAAACACGTACCTGCTGCAAAAAAATATGCTATTTTACTACTTTCACTTTTTCCACCAATTTTTCGTAATAATACATTTAAACTAGGTGTAAAGTACTTGTTGTATACAAGTGCGAAACCTCGACGTCGCATTAGATTAAGAGCCGAGTGTTAAATCAAATCAAGAAGAGCAGTAACGAGTATTATTACCGCGGAAGAGAATATTTTTTGTCAAAAAAAAAAAAAAAAAAATATCGTAAATGTACTTATCACGTGAGTAAAGATTTGTGTCCACTGTCAAGTTCGACATATATACATATATATACATATATGTGTGTATATATGTATATATATATACTACATGCCGATATAAAATATGCTGATGTTCCCAAATTTTCAAATCGCGTCCGGTTCTTCATGTTGAATACAATCGGGAGAAAAAAAATAGCAGTTTTTAGATTCATCATTGTTCACATTTACTCGAGCGCGCCTCTTTGGAAAGAAAAAAAAACAGATTTATTTTTATTTAACTCACGACACGAATGACTACCTCTTCATATCTGTATTAAGTTTTTATATACTTTTACATTTTTAGTAACCACATACCTCAGAATAGACGCCCAGATAGCAATTAAAAAAAAAATGGAATGAATGAATGTAACATGCATAAAAACAGATATTTTTAATTCGTGTAGTGTATATAAATTAAAACACGTTAAGAAACACCTACGATGTAATACAAACTTATTAAAAAAAGTATCGTATTCATTGTATATCCATGTTATTAGCTCTTAGGTTTTATTGTATTTTCTGCAAATTAGTTCATAATTGTGTCGTTTACCATATATTATTAGTTAATGCTGTCACAGTTGGTAAAACAAAAAAAAAACAAAAAAAAAAAAAAGAAAACGAAACAAATCGCTTGAAATCACAAAGCTGTTTGGGACGAGTTTGCGCTATCATTTTATTTATTGTAATCGTCTTTTATTTCCGGGACTTGCGAACACGTCGGTCTGATAATTTTGGAACAAGTCGTATATATACTATATATTTAAAATGCAAACACACACTATTGTCACCTATGAATTCTATGTTAATAAGAAAAAAGCTTTTTCTAAAAGTGGTTCTAAAATCAATTTATCATTGTGTGTATTTGGTATACAGAGCGAGGCATAAACATGTGATATATGATATGTGATATATTAATTCTCTGTAAAAAGTTGGCTTTCAAAGACAAAAGATACTTTTGTTCTTTTTTTACAAATTGGAACAATTACGTACTTTTTTCGGAATCGATTCCGATCGAAAAGTTTCCTCTGGGTTTTCCTCTGTTGTCGCAAAAAAAAAAACGACACAATCGAAAAGCACAACTACTTCGATCGAAAAACCGTATTTCGAAAATAATTACATAATAGCCACTTTTTAAAACCACGAGAAATATAAATGTTTTTGTTTTTCAACAAACATATTTGTGTTTAACTTTCGCGTTTGAATCATTTTTTGTCTATCTCCGAAAAATTCGTTCTTTGAAGTTTGTGTGTAATAATTGTGTCACATAAAATATAATAAGTTTATATTATGTGTTTAAGCAAGTTTTACACTTCTTTATTGGAACAGAATTACACGGACATATCCTTAACTTGAGTAAAAAACGTGCAAACAAAAAAAAAAAAGTAATTTTTTCTACAAATCGACATTATTTCATTCATATCTCACATCTTTGAATGCCTCATTCTTTATGCACGTCCATCTTGAACATGAATGACGATCGATCATCTGTTACGCGTTTAATTAACAACACTAATTAGAATAAACATACGACAAGTACAGCGTTATTGTACATTTTTTTTTTTTATGTTAAGTATGTACAGTTACCAATTACGGATTGGCAAAATCTAATTTAAAAATATCGATGTGATTCTTTGATCCAATATAAATCGTTGGAATAAAGTTAAAAATAAAAAAAAATAAATAAAAAAAGAAAGAACTATTATGCGTTGTTAACACTGCCATTAGCAGTTGGCAATTGTAAATTATGTAGAAAAGAAACTTAATTGACTGTAAATATATATATCTTTATTATTAACAGACATAACTGTTCCTTTCTAGAGCTCTAACAGCGCTATTTTTTTACAACTTGTACTGGTTGACAAGGATCCAGCCGCGTACGATATTATTTTTCCTCCTTTTATTCCACATAACACTTGTTAATGACATTTAAAATTACAAATATGACAAAAAAAAAAGTGACTATTGACGAAAAGAAGGAAAATAATGGTGGAAAGTCAATCAGTATAGCATAATTTGTAAGAATTGAAGATACTTCACGATTGTTGAATTGCAAATTAATACATTTGTCAGAAACTCCATTCTCGATTCAATTGTTACAAAATTTTAATGCCCTTGTGCACTGATATGTGAAAAACAATTTATCAGAATTTGTAAAGAAAAATGCTGTTATTCATGTATCAAACATGTATATCGCAATATTTGTTTGCTTTGTATAAATACGAAATGAAAAATATTGCACAATGACTAATAAAGATATTATAATATCACAATTAACGTCAATATTTAATTTGCACAAGAATACATCTTTAAGTGAAATCTCTCTATATATGTTGAAAATTGCATTTTATACACTTACATATATTGAACACATATTATAAAACACAACACATTTTAACTTTACAGGTGCAATAAAGACACATTACAACATTGCTCTCATAAAATTCAATTATATTTATAGCGAATGTGTGGCACACATTGGCTTTGAATTTTCTATTATTTGTATTGTTGTTTCTCACACGAATGATACGAGACAGAATACATTTTAAATCTTTGTGTGTGCCTACATTGAACTGTGTACATATAATAAATTTGTGAAGTGCGTGTTGCTTACAGCTAATAATTAAACCTTTTGTCAACATACATATATATATATACATATACATATATATACATAAGCGTTTTCACGTGATGTGTTTTGTCATATTTAAAATATAACAAACAGTTATATCGAGTTTTCAACTAGAAAATGCAGTCTTCAGTGTGTAAATCAGCAGTTTTAAACTGACTGGTTGAAAAAAAAAAACACATGTATAAAAACGTTATTATTTCCTAACAATAAGTGAAAATTTATTGACCGGCCGATTTTAAAAACTCATTATAACTCTCTTCGTTCATTAGATTTTTCATCTCATCCGGATTACTTAATTCCACCTTGAACAGCCAGCCGTCCTTATAACAAGATTCATTAATTAAACTCGGTTTAGTTTCGACCGCGTCGTTTTTCTCTACAACTTTCCCGCTGACGGGGCTAAACAATTCCGAAGCCGCCTTCACCGATTCTAAGGCTCCGCATTCCTCTGAAAAATCACGCGGTTTGAACAAAATAATATATAAGCAGTAAATTTATCAACTTCAAATTTTAAGAATCGTCGTAACATACACACACACACAAATTGATTAAATTTAGTTTGACAAATGTTAACAAATTTCTTCTTGCAAGATCAAGCGTATCAGTTTTATTTGCGTTTTAGAAGCAAACTTTTTTTTAAAATCTTTATAAACGTTTCGAATTGAAAAGATCTAAGAATACAGAGATATTTAGAGATATTACAGATCAGTAATAATGTCAAGATATCCAGTTACCGTCTTTTTTGATCGTGGATCCCACGTCGGGAAGTTGCGCGTACACTACATCTCCGAGCGCGTCTTGCGCGTAATCCGATATACCGACTGTACCCACTTTGCCAATTACTGTTATCCATTCATGCTTATCAGTGTACCATCGTTCTGAAAAATCACGTGTTTATCTCGCGCGTTTAAAGACGGACGCACGCACATCAGCATTGTGTAACGGTGTGTGTGGCGTGCCGGTTTCATCATCTCCGTTTATTACGATGAAATGAACCGCAATTAAACGGTTCCAATGTTGTGATCGATCGAATCGGAGATGACGAAACTGGGCCTCGCATAGTCGAACGAAATAAAGCGGGCGAAGAAAATTTGATTTTTGTTTCATGAGAATATAAAAGAAAATTTATTGTTGCGCGCGCGTCTCTTTCGCGAAGAGAAGGGAGGAATTTCGAGCGCGATCGATTTTCTCAGATCGAATTTCTTCACGCACTCACACACACACACCGTTACTCACCATCGGCTCTCAGGCATCGAGTTGTGGTTATGGAGCGCACCGCGGTGAGACTCGATCGCGCGACGAATAAATCGTTTCTGCCGTGCGAAACGAGCGTCCTCACCACCGCGCGTCCGCCGACCTGTGCGATGAATTTTGCCATTTTCTCGTCGTCTGTTTTATGTATCGCGAGCCGCGCGCGCGGACCTAACCCTCTTTTGTTTTTTTTTTTTTTTTTTTTTTTTCTCCCCCGATCGCGTTCACGTGCCGCCGGTCCCGCGCGTAATGTAGCGCAGGCTCGCGAGCGATACGGAGACTATCGACTGATGAGAGATGCCGACGACTTTACGGTCACAGCTCTTCTGGTGTCATCAGTTTCTCTGCATTATCTTGCCATAGAGAACTGTAGTATCGAACTGTACGGTTATAGTTCGATACAAATGTCTCGCATTTCGTCGCACTATCGAGTTCCGTCGTCATCAACATTCCGGTGGTCACACACACACACGCACACGCGCGCGCGCGCGCGTCAGATTGTTGCATTCACGGGGAAAATTTTCTCGGACTTCGCTCTCAGTTTTTCCATCACGTGCAAGACACCCGTGGTCAAAAGCGCAAAACAACCCAGTTTTTACCATTTTTGGATGATAACTTGCATTTTTCGTTGAATTTCGATAATTTTGCGAATATTTTGAAAAACATTGTTTTGTTTGTTTTTTTTTATTCAAAATAAAGATACAGAAGTACACGATCCACAGTTCGTTGCGATAAATTTAAAAACGTGATTATTGTATCCATTGCCACATCTATTTTTCACAACTATACTCGATTCGCACAATTATTCGCGCTCAGATTTTACAATCTGTGTATAATATCAGACTTACAATCAATCAAAAAGAAAGACGCTGAACAAATTTTTTTTAGTCTCACTTGAAGAAACAACTCAAACAAAATAATTGAATAAAGTAAAAAAAGTACGTCACAAACGTTACATATATGTCATATCTAGTTTCGCACAGCGTCAAGTTGAATATGTAAAATTCGATCTCTTATCTTTCTCTTTCTCTCACTCAGTGCATCTCATCACGTGAATTTAAGGCGATAGCAACAGTACACGATGTATACGCTTGAAAAATATCTCTTATCAAAATTGTACCGCGCCCGATGACCTCTATATATGGAAACCGGGCGTACAAAGATCACATATACAGTCTCTTGTTATAAAAAGTTACATGTAGATAACTCGCGTATCTCAAACTCATTATTTTTTGTTTTTTTTTTGTTTTTGTTTTTATAAAGCGCTGATTGGTTCTTCTGGTTTGCTACGCTGATGTGTCATGTATGTATCCTCGTGAATTCGACGTTAAGCGCGTCGTGAAACGGCGTAAAACATCGTGCGCGTTTGATATATATATAAAAACCTGCGGCGCGCAAATTGATTCTTCTCTTTATCGTCGGATCGCACGCGTCGCGACGATTTGATTTCCAAATCGCGAATAATAAGATTCTTCTCGATGGTCCTGTGTAATTAAATAAAAAACATAACGTAATATAGCGGGCTTTTTAGAGAAGCACTTGTGAGATATTCTCTTCAGCAATATGCGCCAAAAAAAAATATTTGCACATTCCTTATACACAAATTGTCACACATCCGGATAGTGTTAGATGTTTTTTACATAAAAATTCTCTTATCTTACACAATTATCTTTTAAAGAGAACATTTTTGATATTATGCTGAATGAAAAAACCATGTTCAAACACAAGTTGTACTCTTGTAAATTAATTTGTGTGTATAAACAAAATTCGGCTAAATTTTATCATTTAATAAAATAACTATGCAAACTTTAAAAAAGTGTGCAACACGTAAAAAAAGGACAGATACAACCACTGAAAAAAGAAAAATTAAAAACTACTGCAAAAATAATACTCGAACATATCTGTAATTATCTAGAGATGTTAGAGAATATGTTCGTGGAAGAGTTCAATCCTCACATCACATTCTGAATGAGAAAAAAGTTTGGATGAAAAATTACGATTTATATATGATTTCACTATAATCCAATGGTGGAAGAACGTCCGTTTGAATTGTGAATTGATACTGGAACGGGTTTGCTAAGGCACCACTCATACCACACTTTGTTGGGACTACATTTGCGCCAGAAGTGAACCACCAGTTCATCCCCTGCCTTCAACTGTATCGGTTCCTGCGTTAATACATTTGTTGTTATTGTTTTTTTTTTTTTTTTTATCTTTGTCGTAATGTGTGTATATGGAGATGGAGAATTATATGTATTAATTAATGTAAATATACCTTAATTGGGAAGAAGATCGGAAACCAACTGAACATATCCGGACTGATTGTGTTGGGTTCTATACTCAATATAATATTTTCATACAGCACCGTTGTGAAGTATCCGGAAAATCCGTGTAGGACACAATTCTGCGTCACCGAGAAGATTTTTGTTTCATACCTCGAATTATCCTTAAAAACATCTAAAATAAATTTTATATTACAAGAGCGAAAATTTTGAATTAAGATTTGCGCAAAGCAAAACGATATTATGATTCCCATTGCGTTGATTCTCGCGCTTTACACAAACCTGGATTTGGATGCTTGAATGTGAAAAGCGGTTGTGGATTCGCTATATCGTATTTATTTTGCAAATGAACCACATACGGCATTTCAAAATGAGCTAACGGATGTCTGTCTTTATCTCTAAGCTGCCTCACCTCGCAGTGCAATTTGTGAGATTGTATCGGAGCGATGTATGAAGTATACGATTGGGGTATATTAATTCCGTCATCTGTAAATTGCAAAAAAATAACAAACCAAATTTCGAGAATTGGTCGTTATCACTTCAAGTTGTGTAAAAAAACTGGAGCGCAACTTGTAATCGCGTTACGCAAACCTTTTAAAAACTGCATAACATTATCCAAGCATTCCGGAGACAATTCGTTGTCACCGAACGATCCGAGTAATTCGGAAACGATAATATCGGCTAATTCCGGAGGAGTCCAGTTTCTCATGTCACACGAAACCACCGTAACCTTGTCTTTCCACATGTCTCTCTGAATAGCCTGCAAACTGCGGATACAGACAATGAGAACGTATTGCACGTGTACGTACTTGATGTAAAATTTTTATCTTGAAAAAGCGTTCTCACGTTATTACGGCATTAGGATTCTTCTCAACTGCGTACACCTTTACGTCCAAGCAGGTCAAGTCCGCAGCATTCAAAGATGCTGTTACAAGCGGACCTCTACCAGCGCCAACCACCATGATGATTCTGAAAATTTATCTTTGTACATACTTATCAAAACAATACTAAGTTGTTGATCTTACATTTGTCTCTTTTCAATCTTTGACGCGATTGCCTTGAGAGCTTCGCATATAGCAGTCTGATATTCTCGATATTTTACCGGATCTTTTTCGAATATTTCATAGGTTTGTGACTCGAGATTGTCCATTAATGGTTGTAACGGATTCTGCAGATAGTCTTCATACCCCTTGGCAAATCTTTCTACCGTTCCGTGTTTCTGGCATCCCTAAAAAAAATTGAAAATAAATCTTTACATCTCTTCCCGAAATGTGTGTCGGACTATCAAAACGCTAATAAAATTTTGCGTAATCTCTTAATACCTTCCATAAAAAGTCAAGATAGTTGTGATAAGTCGAACTTGTGAAGTACGTACAGCCTCTTAAGAGAAACTGAACTTCTAATGCAGCAAATTTTTTTACCAATCCTTGATGTGCTTTACTCAGTACGGGATAACCTTTTTTATTAGTGAGAAATACCGACGTCTGCAAGATCAAGCATCTCACCGGTTCCCCGAGCCATCTATCAATCTTATGTTAAAACATTTGTTAATAATAAATTCACAAATAAGTGCACAAATTATTGAACAATTTAAATGTGTAAAAAATACCTCATCAGATTCAGGTAAATCATGACTAACAACTAATGCAATTCCCATTTTCTTATTGTAATCACATAGTGTTCTAAATGCATTCCACCATTCCCATGGACTTTCTTCCGCAATCTTTGGACATTTTTCTGATCTATAAGAATAGGTTTGTTTTTTGGGATTTTCCATTGGTACTTCTACCCAAACCTAATTTAAAAAAATGTAATATTACTAATTACTTTATTATTAATTTCTAAAATAAGATACTAGTTTACTTTATCTTTGTAACTTACAAATAACCAGACCAAGAGAAATTATCATATAATTGGTTACTGCATAATTGGTAATAATCAAAATTCGATTACATTGTTACCTGGTAACAATTGTTCTGTATAATTTTCTCGGAAATAATCCTTGCAAGATTTACATTCTCACTTATTCCATATCTTAATTTGATAAGTATACTTGGCAAACTGAAGTGACTAGCTAAGCTCATTTCTTGTTTGAGAGTTTCTTCACTATTTTTTCTGATAATTGGATTTGGTGAATCCACATTGATAAGCGGCGGAAATTTGGCAATTACACTATTCCAATCTGCAAAATAATATTGAAATTCAGGTATAACATAAAGTTTTTCTTTAATCCTCCAAAAAAACTAGTAATTTATTAATATGTACCATATAAACTGATTAAAAAATTGTTCAAAATACTTATGACTTAACCGTTTTAGTGCCAGGGGTTTTTAAAAATCCGTGTCGGATTGTGCCATGAAGCGCGATAGCGCTTCCTTCACTTATCTGCGAGTAATGCCGATCGACGCGGTCGCGCTGCTCCTTTTTTTCGTCGAAAAATGCCACGCGGCGCGTTCGCGCTTCATATTTTTTAATAATTACGAGAGGGAAGTCTGACAGACTCGCGACAAGGTACACTCCAAACCGAGAGCGTTGCTAACTGCCGATCGCGATCGAACATCGCGATACAGTTTCTTACAGCACGCGAACAGCGCGATCGCGCTGCGTGGCACTAAAACGGTTAAATTGACTACATCTGTTCTATACCTGAACTAGGTAAGATCAAGTCTGGTCTGGTAAATGGTCCTGGACGATCTTTGGCGAGACCAGATATAAATTCTCTCTTGTATAAAGGATGAACCAAGTTGATGCAGATAAAGTCAAATCTAAAAGTATACATAAGAGTATTCAGAAATATGGAGTAACTGTAAAGATGCAAAAAATGCAGCACACATACAAAGTCACAAGAAAATTTTTCTTGGAGATACTTGACAAAACGAAAGAATACACAAAAAATTATTAAACTTACTTTGAACTCCGTGCATCGTCTAAACACTTAGGTAGATCTGAAGCACAGGAATATTCCAATCCGCAAGAAACTGGTCGTTGGGAAGTCATTTCTAAAATGCACTTTACTCAAAAATCTTTAAAGTTCGAATTGCTTTTTTTCACGCTATCGGCGTGGTTTCAATGCACATGTCAATAAAGTAAAATTCAAATGCAAAAATACTCAAAGTTGCTAACATAAAAAAGATTGTAGATCACGCGATAAAAGTGACTCGATAATTAAAGAATCTTTGCGTTGCATTAGAAAAACAAGATCAATAATTATTATTTGAAGATTTCCGTTTTTTGTTAAAGCGCTTGATTCTTGGTTAAAAGCAGAGAGAAGTCTGGCCAGGTCCATAAGAGAATGTGTAATCACTTTTCCGTCTCGTAAACTAGCGCACGTTCACGGGTGGTGTCCACATTGGAACTACGCAGCCAGTCCACGAGCGACATGTCGGTACGCACATGTCCACAGCGTGCGGTTCTATACTGTGCTATGTGCACGAGTTTAAATGCATTTATGAAAGAGCTTTAAAAGCTTATTGCTGCGTTCAGCGGAACAAGCTTTGTAATAATCGAACGAACGATTTGCTGTTCAACAGACCAAGTTGCTTTGTAGCAAACAAAAGTGATTGGCTCTTACTTATAGAACCAATTAATCAACGTCGAGTGTTAATAAGACGGCACTCGCCAATTGTTACGGATTACGTTCTAAAATCCTACCTTGGTTACCAAAATGCTATATTTCACATCACGTGTACTATAGTTTTTGCTTTACCGAGGTAGGATTTTGGAACGTATCTTCCCTCTGAAACGCGAACCATCAAAAAGCAATAAACCGTAGATGACGCTACTTATTCATGTGTGACGCAATGCTTGTTTTTTTATATCTACAGTTGTGACGTTATTCTGTGTTGTTTGACGTGTAACAATTGACAAGTATACGCAGTAGCACGCAGTTCTACAAAATGTCAATAAAAATTTCTGACGCATTAACAGACGAAATTTAACGAAATATTTCTTTGCGCAATGGATTTGGCTAAATCTTTCTTCAACGTTCGTGATCACGATGGTTATGTCGGAAAAGAGGAGCATAATGTGAGTAATTAGACGAGTTTTGCAAAATTGATCAATGATCCGAAACAGTATTATTTTTTAAATTTCAGTCAAAATGAAAAGTCACTTGTTCAATCTTGGTTTCATACAATCTACTACTCTTTGTTCTTCTATATTTTAGAAAAATTTGGAAACAGCCTTCTCCGAAGATGAGGTTGAAGTGGAAATTGGGAGTTTGTGTAATGAGACTCTGTCACCAGCACCGGGTGGTCCGTTTTCAGCCTTAACTCCATCCATGTGGCCACAAGACATTCTAGCTAAATTGAATCAACCCGACGATCCAAATTCGCAGCCTGAATATAGGTAAAATTTATGCACTTGAAATAACACAGAAGATTCTTCTGAAGTTGTGCTTATAAGTGTTGGGTCGCTTTAGATTTGATGAATTTGGCTTTCGTGTGGAAGAAGAAGATGGACCTGAACAGAGTTCAAAAAAATTATTGGGAATACCATTTGTTGAAGATCCTCAGCACAGGTATTATTAATTCATATCAGGTTTTGTACATGTTTACAGAAAATGGAAAAATTAAAATATGAAAATTAATAGCATTATATGTAGTTGTGGTTATTATACTAGACATTGAAATTTGAGTATGTGTTCTTTCAGGTTGCAGTGGGTTGCTCTCTTGGAATTTAGTCACAACAAGGAAGTGGCAGAACTCTCATGGCAAAATATGGATCAAAGATTACCTCGTACAGACAAATTACGTGAAATGGTTCGACATGGCATACCACATTCATTGAGACCTCAAATATGGATGCTCATGTCAGGTATGGACCAATAAGCATCTGTGTAACAGATTGGGGGAAAATGTATTTTTAATTAATTACAGGAGCACTTCAGAAAAAATGTTCATCAGAAATACTGTACAAAGATATAGTGAAGGCGTCAAGTAATGATGCGTTAATGACCAATAAGCAAATAGAAAAAGATTTGCTTCGCATTATGCCAGCCAATGCGTGTTTCAGCCATCTCCATAGCACGGGCATACCTCGTTTAAGGCGTGTCATGCGTGCTCTCGCTTGGTTGTATCCTGACATAGGGTATGGAGAAATTGATGTATATCTCGATATTGATATTTTCAGACTATTTTCTCACGAGTTAATATAAATTGTTATACGATATCAATACATAGAACTGTTTGTTTTCTTCTACAAGTTATTGCCAAGGCACTGGTACAATGGCGGCATCATTATTGTTGCTCCTAGAAGAGGAAGATGCGTTCTGGATGATGGCCACAATAGTAGAAGACTTGTTACCAGCCTCTTATTATTCTTCTACATTGTTAGGTATTGATACGCGTCGATCATGCAAAACACAGATGTTTATTGCAGTAACACACACAAATTTGTGTAATTATTTGATAGGTATTCAAGCTGATCAAAGAGTTCTTCGTACATTAGTAGCTAATTATCTCCCGGACATAGATCACGTTTTGGTGCAACATGACATAGAATTAAGTCTCATATCTCTGCACTGGTTCCTGACATTATTCGCGTCGGTTGTGCACATGAAGATATTGCTGCGAATATGGGACTTGTTTCTTTTCGACGGATCTATTGTTTTATTTCAAATAACATTAGGAATGTTGAAAATAAAAGGTATTTATGATGATTTATATATATGTAAATAGTATGTATTATTAACTTGTAATAATTACGTTCATCACTATTAGATATTAATCTCTACTTAATTTTTCAGAAGCGGATTTAAAGCAATTGGAGAACTCAGCGCAAATATTCAATGCTCTTTCAGATATACCAGGAGACATTGACGATGTGGACCAATTATTCAATGTATGTGTGTTTTTTTTATGTATTTTAGAAGAGAGAGTATATCTCACGTAACGTAAGTGTCTATTCTTGTTTACGCGTTTAAACTATATATTTTAGATATCTTTAGAAGTTAGTGGATCGCTGACAGATGTGTTAGTCGAAACTCATAGGCGACGTCACTTGGCGTATTTAATGGCCGATCAAGGCGGATTGGTAGGAAATCCGGACGCGGTACCAAACTTGCCGAAACAACATTTAAATAGGTATAAACGCGACTAAAAAAAAAACCATGGTGTATATTTCTATTATATTATCAACAATAATCACCGCTTTTAATTATTTATTTGTGTATATTTACGATGACGCACAGACGCCAAATGAAACGAAGTAAATCGATGTTACAAACCATTTTGTTCGGAAACGATACCGGTGAAGACGATGCGAAATCTAAAAATATTCGTCAAACTGGTATTTTTACACACACACGCAAATATTTTATAAACTCTTCACTAAAATTGATCTTTTTTTGTCTAATGGGAATTTAAAACTTTCAGAAATTCTAGTCGACTTGAGAGAAGCTGTTTTGCAAGTTGCGAGACATTTCATAAATGTTGATCCAAAGTTAAACAACATTGTTCTCATAGCTGACTACACAATGGAAAGTCACTCGAAGGACCATGACAATTATGTTAACGTGTCACGAACGAGAAAGAGAAGGGCCAAAGCTTTATTAGGTTGAAATTTTTTTCTATTATCACATACTGTTTTTTATATGTTATGTTGCAATGGTAATTAAAACGTTTCGATTTTACAAATTGAAATTCGTATGAAACTACGTGTCACAAGTGTGCACCGGTGTTACAGATTTTGAGAGACACGATGATGATGAACTCGGTTTTCGAAAGAACGATATAATTACGATCATTAGTCAAAAAGACGAACATTGTTGGGTGGGAGAACTTAATGGGCTAAGAGGTGAGAGTAATTGTAAAAGTAATTTTTTCTTTATCTTCTTCTGTAAGTCTTGCGGTGTGTTTTATTAACGGTTATCACTTCTCGGTTGAAGTAAAAAATCTTAGTGACGTAAAGCGTGTTTTAATGCACGTTGATCTTACACAGGATGGTTCCCCGCAAAGTTTGTTGAATTGCTAGACGAGCGAAGCAAACAGTATACATGCGCGGGAGACGATGCGGTTAGCGAAGCCGTCACTGACCTAGTAAGAGGCACATTATGCCCCGCTGTAAAAGCGGTGCTGGAACATGGGATGAAAAGACCGTCATTTCTGGGCGGACCGTGTCATCCGTGGTTATTTATAGAAGAAGCTTCCAACAGAGAAGTAGAAAAGGACTTCAATTCTGTTTACAGTCGATTGGTCCTGTGCAAAACGTACAGATTGGACGAGGATGGCAAAGTCTTAACGCCAGAAGAGGTGTGCTAAAAACTTATTTATCTATTAAATTTTTTTTTGTCCACATTCCAATAAATAACAAAGTAATAATATTTCAGTTACTGTATCGTTGTGTTCAATCTGTAAATTTAACTCATGACAATGCGCATGCTCAAATGGATGTGAAATTACGTTCTCTCATCTGTCTCGGATTGAACGAGCAAGTACTTCATTTATGGTTAGAGGTTTTATGCTCCTGTGTAGAGGTAGTACAAAAGTGGTAAGTGTGAATATTAGTGTTACAATGTAACATGATAATTACGTATTTTTTTCTTGTACAATGTGTGTAAAAGTATAAATGTCTTATAAAGGTATCAACCGTGGAGTTTCATAAACAGTCCAGGTTGGGTGCAAATTAAATGTGAATTAAGAATATTAAGCCAATTTGCATTTAATTTAAATCCCGATTGGGAACTACCGCCTAAAAAGGAACAGTCACAACCACTAAAGGACGGAGTTCGCGACATGCTAGTCAAACATCACTTATTTAGTTGGGATCTTTAGCATATGAAATTAGTTTATAATGTTTTAGTTTATAAACGGACTACGTTGTTCAATTTTTATTCTGAAATTTTAATTTTTGTTATTTTTACAAACACCAGAGATCTCTGGTTCGTATAAAAATTAATTTATATAAGTAAAATTTAATCTTAGAAGAAAGAATTTGTAAATAGTAATTGTGTAATATTTATGATTTACATCAATTTTACGTCGGAGAATAGAATTATTATCTTGAAAAAGAAAACATTTATATATTTACTTCATAATTTTTTAATTATAAAAGAAAGTTTATATATATATCGGTTTGACTTTCAGTGCACGGTAATGATTATCAAAAATGTAATATAATAACATAATATAAATGTACAAAAGATGATCTCATTTTTGTCTTATGTGTCTTATATAAATTCAAAACAAATGAAGGAAACAATAAGGTATATACCTACCTACTTTCTTTCTTAAAAAAAAAAAAAACAGTATTGTTCACCGTGTAACTTAGTTTTTTATGCACCCTAATAAATAATATATATAATTATATGTATAAAATATATGCATAAATACCTAATGAGTTTTATATACATATGTTCTTTATATAATTTTCTGCCTGATCAAGCTCATGTTTTCTTTTTATTACAACAAGGCTCTGTAAAACTGTCATCTATAATCTTTATATTAAGAAATGGTTCGTTCTCTTCAGTTTTGACAGTCAAGTGTAGAGTTTGCAGAAAATCTTCAACAGATTTAGAAGATGCACGTATAGTCTTGTACTTCTCGATGGTCGTTTTATCTATATGCAAGTCATGCGCATCCAAACCATCTGTTTTGCTCTCTGATTTGTCCAGAGACTTAAGCTCATGTTCGCACCGACAACGACGTTTTTTAATATAAATAAGATGCAAGTCCATAACATTGGTTCCTGTAATTCCTGTCTTTATTAAGTCCTCTCCTTTTTTGAAACGTGAGTAAAAATTGTAAGTGTCGTTCTCTTTCAAAGTGTTTTCAGGCAACATGCGTTCTACTTCCATTAATGTTAAAACCGAACAATCCAGATTTTGATTGCTATCACCCGTAGCAGAAGTAGACACTTCTGTTGTATTTAAGTTTTTTTGTCCGTGCAATTTGGTATTTGATACACTCATTTGCTGGGTTTTGCATTGATCTCGCGTCAAAATGTTTCTATCAATTGTAGATTTGACTTCTGCGTAAAGATCATGCACAATTGGTGCGATGGCAGGATAACCGAACGCACCTGCTGCATCAGTAGGTCCATCTTGACCGTCAGTTCCTCCGCTAAGTATTATCACATCAAAGTCAACAAGTTGCGGATAACTTTTAATCTCCGCCAACCAGTCCAATGAGAAACGTAAAGCCAGCTCTTGATTTCTACCGCCTTTTCCTTGACCTCTTACCACAACTGTGGGCTCTCCTCCTCCAATCAGAAGTAGACCATCAAAGTTATTGGTGATACAATGAAAAATTTCGTCTATTTTATCAACGGTTAACGGGAGCGCAGGCACAGTTCGCATTCTGTCATAGAACACTTCTCTCTCCAATTCCTTTGACCAAAAGAGACAAATTAAACTTGCTACACGAGCATACGCCAAACTGACATCCTGCACATTTCCAGTAATATCATTTTTTAATATTATTGGAGTCCATTTTTTTCGCAACGCTTCTAAACTTGCGGCTTCAAGAGCTGTTGTATTGTTTCCTAAGATTATGTTCGTCACGTGTTTAAACTGTTTAGCCCGCGTCAATAGTCTGGTGTCTCGAAATGTCTCTTTGGACGATAGAAATTTCTTCAAATTACTGTCCAACGATTCGTACAAATGATACTTTTTTAATATAGCGATAACATTTTCCGGCGCTTTTGCGCTGTAAACGGTTGGGCCGCTGGCAATCAGGTCCACAGGATCGCCGACGATATCGGACAGTATCAATGTAATCACAGACGCGGGATAAGCCATTCTCGCTACACCGCCGCCTTTGACGAGAGACAACTTTTTTCTCACTGTATTGAGCTCGGTGATATCGGCACCTGCATTTTGAAGTTTTTTACAGAGTTCGAGCTTGTCGTCCTGATCGAGGACAGGTCTGGGCATGTACAACAGCGCGGATCCTCCGCCCGATATCAACACTATCAGAGTATCCGTGTCTTTCAGATTTTCAACCAAGTCTATAATATCGTGCGTGGTGTTCAATGACCTAACATCCGGCTGATTGTTGACACCTCCCTCGCGATAGTCTATCACGCTATTGTGCAATTTAGGAAAGTCAGATGGGTCTTCGGACGTCCATACGGCATCCTTCGACACACTCGGTACGCTGACAATACCCTTTTTCAAAACGTTACCAAGTAATTTTTCAAACTCCTGCGCCATTCCCATAACCGCTTTGCCAAATCCGACGAGGTAAACGTTCTCCCGAAGATGAAAACTCTTCTCGTTTATGTACAAAGTGTTGTCGCGAAATTTTACTTTCCTTCTTACAATCTCATTTGGCGACACCGCTTTCACGGCAGCGCGAAAAATATCCTTCAAATCAGATTTGACCTCTGATGCGAATTTCGCGTTCGTTGCCATATCGCAATTCGAGTTTGTGTACTTGGCAATTTTTAGCAGGTTAGGACGAGAAATAATTAAACTGAAATAATAAAACAAAAACACATAAACACACAAACCGAATGTTCGAGCTATTTCCGTTGTGCGGAACGAGTTTGAGACACTTGCCTGTGCAGAGCGACAAACTTGTGCAATTTTTGCCGCATTATCACTTATTTTTTCCAATTCATTGTATAATAAAAAAATTAATACGCGGACAATATACGCTGTCTGTTTGAAGATGGCACTGGTAATATATTTATCAGTTTTTATCACGAGATCGCGCAGACCAAAGCCGTCACGAGACTCGCGCGCGAAAGCTTGATACTTTGTTGAGAATACAATAATATAAACAATATGAAACAAACTGAGAATACAATAATATACACAGAATATAAGTGTTTTCTCGAACACTTTTTGTGTTTCTCACAATCAGTAAAGTTACAAAATTCTTTACCAAAAAACTCTTTTAAATCCTTTACGAACATCTACTGCAAACGAAAAAGTATCTATTTAAAAAAATTGCCAATAAGAATTTTGCAATCTCAGAAATTTGTACTTTCTTTTTGCCATGCGCCTGGAACAACGAAGGAGAGACATTGGGAACTGCAGAAATTTTCTTTCCGCAATCACGGACAAAGCTCTCAAACATTAATTAAGAATCTAAACACGAATTCGAACGTTCAGACCTGAAATGACGATGATCGTCGGAGTATCATAACGCCGTTATCACGGATATTTCATATATTTCGCACAAGTTACCATGAAAAATCATTTGACTCTCTCTCCAATTTCAACATTGCCATCGCGAAATATGAAACTAACAAAAGCTCCGTGTAACACTTACATATGCGCTCGCGAGAGTTGCGGCGCGCCAATCGGAAGCCGCGAAAGACGTCGCGCGCTCCCATTGGCGCTGAGCTGCCGTTCCCGTGCGGTATAAAAGAGCGGCCGAGACTCCGGTGGCGTCACTACGCTCCTGCTTTCCGACAAGTGAGGATCTCTGCTATTCGTTAAATATCGAGCAACAATGTCTGGTCGCGGTAAAGGAGGCAAAGTGAAGGGAAAGGCGAAGTCACGCTCGAACAGGGCGGGATTGCAATTTCCCGTTGGTCGTATTCACCGATTGCTGAGGAAAGGAAATTACGCTGAACGCGTCGGTGCCGGTGCCCCGGTTTATCTGGCAGCCGTTATGGAGTATCTGGCCGCTGAAGTGTTGGAATTGGCTGGCAACGCTGCCCGTGACAACAAGAAGACTAGGATCATCCCTCGTCATTTGCAACTCGCCATCCGCAATGACGAGGAATTGAACAAGTTACTATCCGGTGTAACGATTGCTCAAGGTGGTGTCTTGCCGAACATTCAAGCCGTGCTGCTGCCCAAGAAGACCGAGAAGAAAGCATAAATTATAATACGGCACACTCAAACAAAACAAAACGGCCCTTTTCAGGGCCACAAATTTTTATGACGATGGAATAACCTTGTTGTTTGTGACGTCAACACAAATGTCATATTTCGATTATTTTGCTTTTGGTTTTTGACATATAACATTTAAGAATGATTTTATTCTTTACGCGTAATATATATCGATATAACTTTGTTGGAAATACAAATCGTTGAAATATTTATACATACATTTGCTAACCTAAAACCTAAAACTTGGAGCATTTTGTTACAAGCTGATTTCAAGAACTTTTGATGTAAATGTCTTGATATTTATAAGCGTATTTGAGACGACTGACTGATTATTCTTTGTAATACAGCGAAAAAATTTGTAGAAGAACAATAAGCAATATCTATATATATGTCGATATCTATATATACACATTTATAATAAATTATACACATGTATATATAACAACAAACATACTAAAAGTAGGATCTAAGGATATTGTATTGCGAGTCCAAGAACATTTTAGTTCTTTTGTTTTGTAATTACAATAAGAATTTTTTGTAATTTGATAAATAAAGTTTATAATTTGAGTATAATTTAAGATAATTTTAATTGGAAAATAAATGTTAAAAAATATTTCATAATGATCCTCTTGTTACTCACTAACAAGAAACTAATAGAAGTTATTAATCCTTAATGATCAACGTGGAAATTTCTTAATGATAGTAAAAAATTTATGCGTCATAGTGTAATTGTGCTTTATATCTTACACACGTGAATAGAAAATTATAAATGATTATAAAATAGCTCTATACTAAGACGTGTTCTTATAAATTTCTCTAAAGTAATTTTTCTATAAATATAGAAAACTAAATTATTTGATTTTTTTAATTAGTCTAAAAGAGAGAAAGAGACTTCGTATCAACCGTTATCAAGACCCTAACCACGTTTTTTAAAACTAAAGCAAAAAAGTAATTAAATTTATATAAAACTGACAAACCTATATAGAGTATTTTTATTTCTTAAGTTTTTTTCAATTTTTCGATATTTGTGAATACACATTATCTTTAAAAAATCAAGGATAAACATAAACGGGTATTTAAAATCGAATTAAATATGATGATCACCTTCAACACGAATGCAAGTCTTTATTCTTCTATCGAAATAGTCCGAAATGAAGTTATTTATGTTATTAAGACACAACAATTGTTTTATGTTACAATACAATGAAATAAATTATAATTATTACGATTATGAAAAAAATAATGAGTTTTAAACATAAAACTAGCTATAACTCGAAAACGACTTATTTTCGAACCTATGTTTATATAACTTTTTTTTTTCTTCTTTTTGGATCCCCCAATCACTCTCCCAAGTATTGCGGGTGATTTTCCGGACATTCTGTACACACACAAATAAATTATTAATTTTAAATTTTAGAAGAAGATAAAAAATATCACACAGTAACGTGTTTCATAGCGTCACGAAAGCCGACGTCGTAGAAATTATATGTTCTTATAGTTAGTTGTGCCGAAGATAAATCAGAATTTTTCGAAAAACGTCCAAATCATTGTTGCTCAAAAATTTCTTTTTACGTGACCATTTAATCAAACACGGAAATAAAAATCGGACAAAGCCGATATCTGGCGAATAAGTTAGATGGGGCAGCACAATTCGAGGCTCAACTCATAAATTTTGGCCATTGCAACAGGTAAAGTGTGCGAGCTGATGCATCGTCTTGATGAAAGAGACACGCTTTTTTTCTCAAAATAAATGCGATTGTTTCACTTTGATTTCGCCGTCTGAATGTAGCAAGCCCGTATAACACTCGAAACGGTTTTTTCTTTTTTAAGATAGTCAATAAACATTATTCCACATGCATTTCGAAATACAGTCAGCCGATAAAATTGTCTCTGCCTTCTTCGATCGACCGCTTTCTGTTCACTGTTTCGACTGCTCTTTGGTTTTTTGGAAAAAGATCAAGTGTGGAATAGCGAATCCAAGTTTCACCAACCAAGTTGTGTGAATCGGTGTAGAAAGTCTTTTGAATTGCGCTTGAAACACTCGGCTGAAACATCCATTCGGCGTTGTTTTTAATAATAATCCAATATGAGCAACTGTGAAGAAAATTGGTTTTACACTCAAATGTTTGTCCAAGATATCGTTCGCGCTCGTTTCGCAGATGAGATGTGACCACTATCTCTACTACATCACACGCAACTTCAATCTGTTGTTCATTCGCGTAACGATTGTGTGAAATTTTTCTGATCATTGCTGAAGTCGTTTATCTCATTTACGTGTACGTTCTCGCAGCTCGTTCGATCAATTTTTTTGGATGTAACTAACTTATCTGTACTCCGTGTTTATCGAAAGAGAAAAAAAATCTCGAAGAACCGCAACTTCAACCTGGCTTTGATCTGCTACGTTTTCTCTTTTATCAAAACATAGAATTTAAATGACGGAATGAATCTCCGGATTTTTTCCATAGCTTACAAAAAAATCATCGAGAACGTCCACTTTGAGATGTCATACATAAATGTTATGCGAGATAATGAGCCAGCGTTTGACATTTGTTGTTTTTTGAGGGATGAAACGACAGCGGTATAATATTGACGTATATTATCATTATTTCGTTTTTCGGATACTTGTCAATCAACTCTCGTAGTAGCGGCGCACCAATCGGCTTCGCGCGTGGTCGCGCAACCTGATTGGTGGCGCCGTTGCCACTCCGTTTCGTATAAAAGAGCGCGCTCGGTTCGGGAACGGTCAATCGACGCTCCGACTTCTTGGTTGAACGTTGTTCTGTTGCGAGATCGCTGCCGCTCTTATAAGTTCTCATCATGCCGCCGAAGGCAAGTGGAAAGGCCGTCAAGAAGGCGGGCAAGGCTCAGAAAAACATCAGCAAGACCGATAAGAAAAAGAAGAGGAAGAGGAAAGAGAGTTATGCCATTTACATCTACAAGGTGTTGAAGCAAGTGCATCCGGACACTGGAATTTCCAGTAAGGCCATGAGCATCATGAACAGTTTCGTCAACGACGTGTTCGAGAGAATTGCCGCCGAGGCGTCAAGATTGGCGCATTACAACAAAAGATCGACGATCACTTCTCGTGAGATACAGACCGCGGTTAGGCTTCTGCTACCCGGAGAATTGGCCAAGCACGCTGTCAGTGAGGGAACTAAAGCCGTCACCAAATACACCAGTTCCAAGTGAAGCAATAATTCGATGCGTATTGCGGACTATATATACATCGGCCCTTTTCAGGGCCAGCAAATATCTAGAGACATTGGTCATCTTTATCGTTTTCACACGCAATAATTCCTTATATTTGAGTTCCGACGAATTTGTATTTTATCGTAAGATAAAAGTATTCACGTAAATTAAAAGTTTGAATTTTTTTAAAACAAAATGCTTTTTTTATTAAACAAGTAGTATGATTGGGGGTTGTCCTCGGGTTCTTTGTGGAAAAATTTACACACATTTTGCTTTTTATCAATTTTGTTATCTCGATTTTAAACGACCGTAGAATGACTTTTCCCGAGTAAACAGAAATTTGTTGTGACATTGAAAACAAATGTGTTCGTTAACAGAGCGTTGAGTTTTCAGTTTATAATTTTTGAATCAAATTTATAAATTTATCTTTTAAGATGTATCTTACAAGTACCAAGAGTAGAATTTATAAAGAATATATCTTTGTTATATCGTAAAAAGTTTATATATTTTTATTCTCTTTTTATATCAATAAATTTCTTATCTTTATATCGCTTGTATAATTTTTACGCGTTCTTGAAATTTATCTTTACGGAGTAAAACGTGTTGCAGAAATAAGATAATGTAATACTCAGAGCTGATTTCATTAACTTTTTATAGAATATTCTATAATAACATGTAAGATAATAAAAAAATAAATATATTTAATCAATTAGGACATCATTTAACATGAGTCATGGACAGAAAATGCTTCGTGTGTAAAATTTCGTTCTCTCTAAGCGACCAAAGTCGATTGTTTTCTTTGTGAGTACAAATTATATATAAGTTGAGCTTAGGTTTCTATCTAAGAACGGTAAAAAAAATATTTTAGTAACAATTTCTCATGAGGAAATAATTATCTTTCAATCAAATAAATAAATGAGTTACTTAGATATTTTCTATCTAGCCATAAAAATGAAAATTAAACGTTTGAAGAGAGTTTCAGTAGAAAATATTTGAAGCGTGAATCGCGAGAAACCGTGCTCGTACGCCATTGGTTGAACGCGAATGACGTATCGGGTATAAGTAGTCACCACCTGTTGCGGACGTAACTCAGAACGTACTCGGTTGTTGCGGCGTGCGCGAGGTCTGTTGGGGAGAAAGGAACGAGAGCTATGGAAAGTTTGTCAATTTATAAACTAGACTAGATAATCGGAAAATGATTTATACAATATGTATTTAGAATGTACAAATATGTAAAACACTGGATAAACCACAATATTTCTTGACGTGAACAGATTACATACTTTTTCAAAGCTGAGCAATTTATTTCTCAATCGTGAGTTGCTTCTTGTGTCAAACATTAGGTTTGTTTTATTTTTCTGCACTAGTTCACAGTCTATCTTTTTCCTTGTAATAATATAGATAAAAACAGATGGTGCAGCCAGTACAGGAAATAAAACAAATTATCAAGCAACAGTTGTAAGTCACAAAGATTTGCTTCACTATTTTCTTCTTCAAGATTCGTATTCGAATTCGTATAAAATACATTTTTCTCTTACATCCGTGTAACAAAAATCTTTCACATACGATTCAATATGCTTTGAATTGATCGTAAGTTTGCTATTTCTCTGTCGAGATCTCCGCCATTAGGTTTACTAAAGAGAGTCGTTAAACACTTGGAAATAACATCTTGACATTTTGTTATTATCTTTCTCCTGTAGCAAAAAGAAAAGTTATTAGTTTGTCATTTTTTTGTTATTTTAATTTTTGCACAGTCATATAATATTCTGATTTTATTTTGATTTTTTAGTCTGTATAAAAATATATTAAGAATGTGCACACACACAATGCAAATGAATTACTTACCTGACGAAACTGTTAGTTATATTTGAATTTGTTATAAAATAATTTACTAAACTTGCTGTCGATTCAATTAGATGAAATTCATTGCCTTCGTTTAACCAGGCACGAGTATTTTTGCCAATCATTCTAAAACACAGATAAATATTGTAAAGATTAAAAACAAATTTTACATTTGAGAAACAAAATTTCGCTAGATTAACAAGAAAAAATACTTACTTGTCATAAATATCTAAGAGATCTTCCATCGCTACTCCCAATTCCAAGAATCCAGTTATAATAGCAATATTAGATACTTTGTACTTACACGTTTTCATTTCTAATTGTTTTATCAGGAAGTCTAAAACAATGAATTTATATAAGAATATATATATAAGAATATATACACAAAGTTCAAAATAAAAAAAATATATTCATTTATGTAAAAATTAAATTACCAATTGGGAAGCAGTGCGGTGATCCCATGTATTCTTGGCCAAGTATTTTAATTTTGCTCATTAAAATAGTTATTTTATCTTCGTTCGAAGATTCTATTGCATTTTCTAATTCTAGAATCATTAGAAAACTCATTAAAAACATTTTAAAAAAAATTTAATACAAATTGCAAAGCTTTTGAAACATAACACATTGCACATCATACCATTGTCGATTATATTGGTCCAAATTCCTTTGATCAACATGTCATCTTGATGACCAGAACAATGGATTATGGCCAACTTGCATTCCCAAAGCTGTAAGGGGTCTGCATACTCTTCATATAACTGTAATAAAAAATTTTACAATATGAGAATTTAAGAAAAAATACGAGTAAAAAAGCATAATTTACGCTCTACTACAAACCTGTGTGATATCAAGCAGAGAAGAATTTAGTCTCAATTTTGCATCTGTTACCAGCATCGAGTCGTAAAGATTTTGCTGATTGCTGATAATATCAAGTATCTAGATAAATATTGAAAACAAACAATATTTAAGTAATACAATCCACTTGTAAAAGTTGCAGACATCGGTATAATATAGTTATAGATTTTCGGTTTATATAATCTCTAATGGGCTTATGATTACTGACGACAATTTAGAATACCTGCTGTTGCATTCTAGCTACTTCCAACTTGTCTTCCAATTCACGTAGGAAAATCCCAAGATACGGAGCATATCCTGTTTGATCACTTCTCATACATACAACTGCTCGCGCTAAATACTCCACTCTTTTTGATAGTGGCACTTCAGACCTGTTAAAGAACTTACGGTAAAAAATCCATCCTTTTTTATATCTTTATATAAATCTCATAAAACACAATCGCAACACAGACGTATTGTGTTCGACGCAATATATTCTCACCCGGCTTTGCTAGCTAAAGAGTCCAATATCTTTGCCGCGGCTGCGTGATTCTTATTTCTCTCGTAAAACTGCCAAAGTAACTCGGGCGCGTTTACGCGACTGAGGTAAGTTTCTAACGAGGGTGCGGCGAGCGCGACCAACTCGCCGTGAAGTCCGCGCTCTATCATCCACGTGTAAATCGAAAAGTGAAGCGTTTCGCATGGCGCCTGCAGCGCGTCTCTTATGATCTCGTGCAACTGAAACAAACGTTTGTGTGATTACAAACGTATGCGTGCGTATCAAAAACAATTAGAAAAAAGAAATTATAAGTCTTACTATTTCTTTTGCCGGTGTTACAGCAGCGGTTGACGTAGTCTGTAAAGGAGGTCCGGGTTTACTCGGTATAGTCGGCGTTAAAGGATCGGAGATGCTCTGATGGTACAAGTGATCCAGCATCGTAATAAATTCTTTATAAATTTCTGAACTGTAAAAGAATATTAAAACAAGTTCGAGCTTCAATTAAGAGGTTCTTTGCGATTATATTCCTCCAAAAACTTGAAAATTGCGTGTACCGTTTTGTAAAAGCTAGACTTCCCTCTTGATCCTCTATCGGTTCGTTGTTTTTGTAATAGTGCGAGGCAGCGTTATTGGGATCTATTCTTTCTGCACAGCAGATACACAGTTCAAGTACTCCTGTATAGAACTGACACGCCACGAACTGTTGGCATACTGCGTTCAAATTCAATCTGGGTGCTACTTCTTTGCAAAGCTGCGTGGATACGTCAAACGAATGAGATCAAACGTTTGTTTTTCATATTATCGTGCAAATGATATGTTGCGACACGTACCTTTAAAGCAGATTGGAGATAGCATTCTCTCTCCTCGGGATTTGTGCTGTTTTTTGCTTTCAAAAGAATTTCGTTGGCCTAAATTCGACGAACATATATGATTTCTTGTTATAATATACGCTATTAAAAATTACATAACATATAAATGTATCTACCTTGGAACAAACAGCATCTTCAGTTCTGTATAAATTCGGACATACTTCTCTCAATTTCGCGCTCACAGAATCGACTGACGCATTATCGCCGAGATAACTACAAGAATCGATTGTATATTGTATTATACTTCTACTCTGAAACCATTTATCAATAAAACGTCATAAACCTACCTATCAATCAGATGAACAATGAGTAAAGAAGATATTTCACGGCCTATTAAAATTAGATCTCTAAACGTGGCTGTGGAAAAGTGAGTAATTTGATCCTGAAACATATTCAAATCGTAATTGTCTATGAAAATAAAAAAGCTATATCAAAAAGTTTGATTGACAGTGTAGTAATAAACCTTTGATAAACAGCTGACAATGTTGTTCAATTGATTCTCGCATAATATCTTCCATAGACCCAAAACTTCACAGGCGTGAGTGATAAAAACTTTTAAAGCATCCAACGAGTTTCTCTCTTCCACTATTGGTTCTTGAAAATGACTTTGAATCGATGTTTCAAACCCATCTGTTATACCTCTGCTACTTGTACTTTGTCTGAAAATATCGTTAGTCAGTCGTAATTGAATCTTTAAGTAATGTGCTATACAATTTACATAATATAAAGTATCGCATGTATTATATATTGAAAAGAAAGATCTTGTACACACAGATACATACTGTTTTGTGATATGCGTATTTTTATTCAAAAAAGATCTTAATGATTGCAAATGTCCTAAAATCCAAGCTATTTGTGTTGCTGGTACCGTACTGGATATCTAGAAAAAAGTTAATATACAACGTTTATAAATATATATACTTTAATTGTATAAAACAACAATGTACACACATTATCAGAAGATAGAGTAATATTCTTTTTTTTTAATAACGCTTACCACACACTTATTATTTATTGTCTCTTGTTTTATACACCGTATGTTCCATATGGGACGAAGTATTCTTCCCACGTAAAGATACAATCCGCTGTGTTTAGCGGAGAAATGTTGCAAAGCAATATCTGTGCTAAGACCCATTTGCGCAGACGGCCGGAAGACTTGAGTTCTCGAGTCAAAGGGCGGAACTCTGGGTGTAGATGTGCGTAAATCTATTAATATATAAGTTAAAACACAATTAATTGTTTATAAATACAATGTAAACATTATGCATGTATTGTATAAAAGACATGCATACCAGGAAAACCACTATGCATGTCAAGTGAGGAACTTATTCCCGCTGTCCTTTGACCACCATATAGGAAAAATGCACGAGTTGCCCATTCTGATAACTAATATTGCCGTGAAAAATATATATTATTAATAAAATTAAGGATATTTCTATATAGTGTGTGATATAATATTTTCTAACATCATACATACACATATAAGTAAATAAACTTACACTTAATAAAAAATAATTTTACCTGAGCATTTTGAGAACTTTCAAGCGTTGCCAAAATTAGACACGTAGCACAAGCTTGTTCCAGAGATTGAGTTTGGAAATATGCGCGTACCGCTTCTGTGTCAGGCCCACGTTGTTCCAAAAGAAGTTGTCTCAGAATATCTACAGGACGTACTTGCATCAAGATTATTGCTCCCTGCAGCAAGATGTGATTCACATTATAAATAGATACATGTGTGCAAACACAATAATAATAGATAACATACGCGCGTACGATAATATTTATATAAATATGTAACAAAATGTACCTATCGTATACCTGTGCTGTCAAAAATATGAATTTTCTTGGTGGCTCCATATGTTGGCGCACTAATAACGGAGGTTCACCCTGAGCGCTGCTTTGCTTCTCTATGTGTATAGCCGAATCTCGTATGATTTCCTCCATAGCCCAGGCCGGACTGTCGAGAGGCAGGATACTCTGAGTTTCAGCCAAGTAATTTGTAAATGGATAAGCATCATTGCTCAAACACCACGCCGTTTCTGTATCACCTCCGCAAACAAGAATAAGTGTCCCTAGAAAATATCAGTAAGTTAATAACATGTCTTCTAACATCTCACACACGCGAGATATACACAAGTGATTAGGTAATTTACCTTTCCGATAATAAGCCATTTGCACCTTCCGCGGTCTCATTACCGGAGCATTCGCAGCGTAACCCGGTGGTAATCTGACATGTATTAAATATAAACCTTGCGGCCTACTTGAGGGATTTGTAACGGAGGTGCAACTAAAATAGAACCGAGTTCCCGTCGCCGCAACAACGACCAAATTCAGATGCACCGATTCGGACTCTGTTATGGCCGATATGCTTACAAGAGGTCGAAAATTGTTACTATCCAGAGTCCTTGAAAGAAAAAAACAAATTATTAATTTTATTACTAACTAATTTATGCAATATTGATAAAGGATTACCTACTTAACAACATGGACAGTATTTTGTACCAAAGAAGCTTGGGATAGTGATGTGATTTTAGATGCACCACCATTATCAATATCCCAAACTGTAATTGTACCTCTATCGCCCAAAGTGTACAAAATATTACGTGAATCATCCACTGATATCTGTATTATAGCTTCCTCTTCCGACAGGGCCATAGTAACAAACGACGGCACTAGAAATGACAACGGACCTTCTGAATGATTAATTTTTTTGCATCGTTTGCCGAACCAACTGCTCTCCGCCTGTACACGTGCAAAGAAACTGATTAAAGTAAAAGTTAAGATGGATACGACTTGGATTAAAAAAAAAAAAATCTTAAATATTTGTGTCCTACTTGATAATATATTTCAAATAATGACCCGTTTCTACCACCAAGAAAGATTCTACCACTACTGGTATTAGCAATTGTGGTAATTCCTATCCCATCAGTTGTAACAGTAAAAATTGGCTCTGGAACTAACTGCACTTCTGTGGATATATAAAAATTAAATTGACAAGATTCACAATACATTACTAACATAATATAAATTATCATTTAACAACCAGAATTGTAATAAATTGTTTACCTTTTGTGTCGTCGGGTATTGTAACACCAAGAATGATTATTTCTACTGTAGTTGTGAGAATTAATAAGTATTTAACATAACTCTGGAAAATTCCTGCTTTGGGTTTTACTAAGCCTACACTTATAATAGTCTCGTTTAAACCATCAAAGTATGCAACATCAGACCTGTGTATAAATTTTACAATATTTTAAATATCTATTAGCATTCTATAGATATGTGTAAGTTTATACAAAGTTATGACCATTAAATAAAACTCTTGTATGTATGAAACATTGTGTGCTTACTCATTTTCATAAGACCATAGATAAATATCACTGTCAATTGTAAGCCATGCTTTTGAAATTTCTGTGAAAAGACCCATCATACAATGACATTGCATATCTGTGTTTTCAATAAGGATCAAATAAAAATATAAAATGACAGAACTGAAGATATTTTTCTCTGAAAAACAATAAATTTCAAAAGGATACGGCCAAAATGCTCCATTACTTCAGAAGGCAAAGGAATTTTGCTGTGTATTTTCATTTGATTGATATTTGTTAAACTCATTGACACACTCAAGTTAGGATAATCATGATCGTCCAGACCACTAACCGTTGGTCCACCTAAACCAAACAAATAAAAGATATATCAATAACATATATTCAGGTTATTACTTTCAGATAATAACATTAACATTCCTCGCATACTCATATAGTTAGAGAGCTGTGACTTCTGGCAAAAAATATATAATTGCATACACATAATTTACCTTGCACGTTGTATCGCATAAGATTAATTAAAGATGGAAAGTTGCTATCTGCAATAATATGTTTGTCCACCATCTTTCCAGCCATTTCTAACGAATCTAAATGTATTTTTAACGGCTCCATTTCTGTAAGTGTCATATTCCTCATTTTGTAAAAATGCTGTATCAAACAAAAAAAAAAGAGATGTAAACTATTACGCAATTATATGTAAATATATAATATTATTATTTAATAAATATGTATGTGCAACAATTTACAAATATAAATGATCACATCACACATCTAAAATTCAAACATGTATCAATTGGGTTTCAAGTTTTTATATTTTAAAAAACAAAATAAAATTCAACAACTAAAATACGAAATAATCGTAAAATGATAACTGATAAGATCATTTTTTAGAGAAAGACAGGAAAAGAGAAAAAAAGTTTATAGGTTAGCTCAGGTTATAAAACTTGTTATTTTTATGAGAAGATATTGAAGCGTTTGAACCACACTTTTCTAAGCACAGAAATGCAAGTCAAGAAGTATAACTATATTTTTTATAATTACGCACTATCTTTTACTACACACTTGGGAGCGAATAGCAACACGTTGAACGTATATTGCAATCACGCTAAATAACCCTCATGCCACTTCATCGCGCCGCGCCAGGCACCGGCACCGGCGTCTATTCGAATCATCGAAAAATTCAACGGTACACTTGCGATATTTTTCGACCGTATCTCGAGAACTCGAAAAAAAACGCGTACCGCCTTGATTTTCTCTTATTAAGACAAAAACTTTTGCGTTATAATTAGATCGGTATTTTAATATTTTCATAAAGTTAGGTTTTATAATATCAAATTTAATCATTTATTTATCTCGGGGAACATATATTATATTGTTTATTTTTATTTCGAGATCTGTGTATCGATCTTTGATCGAGTTACGCCAATAGGGTTCAGTACGCGCCATCTAGCGCGCGATCCAAGTTTTATTACAAATGCTTCAAATCAAAGCATTTGTTTTACGACTGTATTCTAAAATTGATCGTAGTTACATAGCAGAGTGTTGAAGAAACTCTGAAATATATGTAACTTTGAATATATAATATTATTCCCTAAAGTGTTTTATTACAAAATCATCATCGGGTGCAAATCAAAAGACCATTGCAGACGTTTTCCTCAAGCTGTTCTTCTAAAAAGGTGAGGGAAAAAGGTTTACTTTTAATACACATGTCACAGATTACCACCGGGCTACGCTGCGAATGCTCCAGTAATGAGACCGTGTCTTATCGCACGTCAATATTAGATATAATCAATTAGATATAATCAATAATATGTAAATACACGATAAAACATGTTCACTGTGTCGCGAAAAACCAACTAAGATGTCTCCATTTCTTCAAAAAACCAACATCGCATGCAAAGCGAAAACAAACATTGTCGATAGCTTTCTCAAATTTGTATTATTTTTTATACAAGATGTTGGTTTGAAACAGTTGTACGTGTTACAGAGCAATTCTAATCGCCAACGGTCATATCACGTTGAAAGTACCTGTTCTCGTCCGATCACGGAAGTCAAGCAACGTTGAGCGCGGTTAGTACTTGGATGGGTGACCGCCTGGGAACACCGCGTGCTGTTGGCATTCCTTTTTTTTTTTTATTTTAAACAAGTGAGACAAGATTTTATTTTACTGTAGTATGTATATAATACATATAATACAATATAAAGTATAATAAATTATATGTATATAATATGTATTATTTATTGTTATATATAATATAAATTACAGTCACGTTATTTTCACCGGCGACCCTCAGTAAAATAAATGTAAATGCATAAAACATGAGAATGTAGTTTATCTTATCTGTTGTAGATAATATTTTACAACATGCACATCGCATAGCAAAAAATTCATTTCGGCGCCGTGGTCAAGTCACGTAAAATTGGCGCGGCACTCAACGTATGTATGAGTGTTATCGACGTGTCACAAAAAAATAAATAAATAAATAAAACAAAGAAAAAAATCAAATCGAAGAAAAAAGAAATAAAATAAAATCTTGTCTCACTTGTTTAATTTAAATAAAAAAAAGAAATGCCAACAGCACGCGGTGTTCCCAGGCGGTCACCCATCCAAGTACTAACCGCGCTCAACGTTGCTTGACTTCCGTGATCAGACGAGAACAGGTACTTTCAACGTGATATGACCGTTGACGCCAACATAACTTTCGTGTCACGTAATAGAGGAAGAAATAACGTGTTAGAGTGTTATCAACGTGTCACAAAAAAATAAATAAATAAATAAAACAAAGAAAAAAATCAAATCGAAGAAAAAAGAAATAAAATAAAATCTTGTCTTATTTGTTTAAATAAAAAAAAGANATGCCAACAGCACGCGGTGTTCCCAGGCGGTCACCCATCCAAGTACTAACCGCGCTCAACGTTGCTTGACTTCCGTGATCAGACGAGAACAGGTACTTTCAACGTGATATGACCGTTGGCGATTGAAATTGCTCTGTGACACTTACAACTGTTTCAAACCAACATCTTGTATAAAAAAAAAATACAATGGATAGAATATCAAACATACGTTGCAATAAAGAGTTTACTAAATTATTCAAATGAACTATATTTTTATATATTTAGATATAATTTTGTTTTATATATGAATACACAATTCTGGAACATGTTCTCTACAATATGTACATTATTTACACAAAATTATTCACAAACAATTCGTGATTCACAACTTCGTGTCGTCTTCTTGCGCGCGAGAATTATTTATAGTAGTCGTTTCACTTTGCGCGGTCTTCGTTTGTTCATTCAAATCTCTCAGATCTGGCGAGCTCTTGGTATGACTTAGAACCGTGCTCACGGCTGTTGGTATACCGTCGGTGGTTCTTCTGCGAAACTTCAACGGTTTGGATATCTTCGATCGCAATTGAAAATTTTTCTTCTTTCGAGAATCGTCTCTAACGGGTGTCAAATATTTCGAGCAACTGGCAGTTCTCGAACGACTCGGTTCGCAACCGATGACCGCGGACATGTCGATCGTTTCCGGAGTTAGCAAGTGTTGATTCAAGATCTGTCTACACTGACACTGATGAGAAAACCCGGATTCCGTAGGACCGTTGCGTCCCTCGTTGTCGCAGTCGCAGATGTCCGGCACGTCGTTTATTTTCTCACCGGCGAACGCCGAATTGACAACACCCTCTTGACTTTTTTCGCCGCGCGACGAGACGCTAGGACGTCCCTCGGAATTCTCGACGGATGATTGGCGATACAAGCTCGCGAGTGAATCTTTCTTCCAGATATTACCGGTTTCGGGGAACCATGGAGAAGAGTCGGCTGACGTTGGAAACGGCGTCGACCCGACATTCGTACGCGAGATGTTCATCGCGCTCGGCCAGGGCAACATCGTCTTAGATGGTCTCGTTTGAACCGGGAAGAAGGATTTCCGCAAATCGGCACGTGATCCCGAGCCTTTCTTCGCCAAGGACGAGAATTTTTTAACGGCATCGGCTATCATGTGCCTTTGTTCCGGCGGTTGTTGGTCTTGGCTATCCAACTGTACAACCGTTTCGGGACAATTGAAAGCCATTGTCGCAGATGCCGAAGGGGACTCGCTGATCTGGCTGGAACAAACGCGTCTAACTTAATAGAGTTCTTGCCGCATCGCATCTCTTTTAACAGAACACACTCGTCAAAATAAAAAAGTTCAGAAATGTAATCTCTATTCGCAAGAAATGATCTGCGTACTTTTTAACATGAAAAAAATAAATAAAATAAATATGAAATGTTAAAAATCTTTCTAGCTTTTTAAGCTGTTTTTGTTTAGAATAAAATGTTTTTTCAAGTATCCGTCAAATTCTCAGATGTGACCAAACGAGAGAGACTCTGGTTGTTTTAATGTTAAAAACAATATAATATATAGATTTTGCTGTTTTTTGTTTTTCATTTAAATGTTATAAATAGAGTAAAGATTGATAAAGGATCAATTACGTCGATACTCGCTTCAATTACAATCTTACCGCATTTCGCTCGTCGGACTCTCGCTCGGGTTCGTCGTTAAATTCACGATAGAAGCGCGTAGAGTGCTTTTCGAGGATTCTTCTTCTTCTTCTTCTAAAATACCAGGTAGAAACATTCCTTGTTTCGCTTGAGGTACCCTGCAAAATCGATTACATCGTAAATGTCAAACCTGATCATTTTTGTTTTCGCAATTAAAATAAATCTTAAACCTTGACTGTGCGAAACTGTTTCTTGTATATCGCGTAAAAAGTGTAAAATCATCTTCTGAAATGACTTTGTTTTGAAAATTTTATATTATAGATTTTATTTGTTTCAAAATTTGGTAGCTTTATGTATTCTAAACTATGTATAAGTACAAAGTATCTACTAACATCATATTCGCCACGCTACCGCGATAAGTCTTCTTCTTATACGCCGCAGCCGCTTCCGTATACGGCAGACTTATGTTCTCGGCATCGTAGAAGATGTCTTTGACGAGAGGCGGACAACGGTTCATCAGTGTGTCCACTCCAAGATATGACACCTGTTTGTAAGTATTACACCATTGTGAAATAAACAAAACAATAGAACAATAATGAAAAACTCGATTTCGATTGGAATCGAATTTTCAAAGAATTACATAATAAATTAAAAATTACACAATAAATTACACATAATAAATTTCTAATCATTTATCTTAGATATATATCTTGATCGTTTTCGTACCTTGGTATGACGATCGATCAGCCAGTTCAGCTCGAAGTCCTCGTCGTCGTCCCCGAAGGGATTTATCAGTTGTTCGGCCACCTTCAGCAATCCCATAAAGAAGAAGAATTGCAGAATCGTGAAAATGGGCACGTATTTGTCTATTTTCAATTGGAATTGCTTTTCGACGCCTTCGATGTACTGCCGGCCGACCAGCGCGACCGCAAAAAAACTGTAAGTGGCGAGTGTCACAACTTGGGTGTACACCAATGGGATCGACACCCAGTCGTAGCTCCACAAGAGACCGCATTTAGTCCGGAATTCGTTAAACTCCTGCAAATCGAACTTCATTAACGAGTCTAAAACTTCACTCAAGTCCGCTCTCAGTTATAAACAGTAAGTAAAGAAACTAAACGTGGCTCAGGTATTTTAATTGCCATCTACTATCTACAGGTTTTGTTTTTTGTTTTTTTTTTACACTAAATACAATATAAAATTTGTAATTTAAGTTTCGTCAATTGTTTCTGCTGGGAACAAAGTTGTTAATTTCATTGATTTTGGTAACAATATTAAAAAGAGGAAAAAAAGGGATAAAAAGAGAAGAAATCACAAAAAAAAAAAAACGATAAAATTAATGAAACAAAATTTGGTGTTGTTTTTTTGATCCGCCTGTTTTCGCGTTGTTGTTTAATTCATCGTGTCAATTTATACCTCGCTTCGCGCGAAACACGCTCGGAAAGTGCTAAACGGAAAACTAGCTGTTATCTTTGAAAAATTCAATCTCAAGACACATTCGTGCCGGCGTACGTGCCTAATCGGAAAGAATAAAATCGCCGTTGATAGACTTCGACGGTTTATACGATTGTTTTCTTTGTGTTGTCGAGTGTATTAACGATTCGTGTGGATTAACAACAGCCGCTCGTAAAATTTCATATCGTTCTTCCGTGTCTATCGACAATTGCGCGTGTTGCCGAACGACCGGCTGTATTTCTTTCTTTCCTCCGGTGACACGATAATTGAAACAAAAAAAAAAAAAAAAATTCCGCCAGAAGAAAAACAAAAGTCGTTTCGAGAAATTGTCGGGAATAATTCCAAGGTACGAAGATGGAGAAAAAAGCATCAGGGGAAAGTTTACTCGCACCTCCATGATTAGCTTTAGGCCCTGCGCATCGGACAACCTGTGGTTCTTACGTGCCTCCTTGAGAAGATTAATGAACCACGTGCACGGTATCCAATAGGTGTTAAACTCCTCACTCGGCACCGACTCGTACAATTCGAGCTCCAGCGAAGTCATGAAGCCTGCGTGCGGTAACACACACACACACGTTAAATAAATTTTTTTTGTTTTTTTTGTTTAATATCGCCGCCACGACGACGTGGCGATTCTTTCGTTTCCCCGCGTGCGGTAGCGATTTACCGGAATCGACGACGTGGTCGAGAGTGGGAAATCGTCTCTTCACCGCCGAACTGATGGAACGCAGAACGAGTATTAGGGAGAGATTCAAGTAACGCATCAAGGCCCTGCGTAACATCCGACTGTAGTCGTCGTTTCCGGTGACGTAGAGAGCCACCAGATGCATCACTCTGCAAGGAAAGAAATAGGAAACAAACATATACAAATATGTACAAATTGTACAGATCGTAATCAACTGCATATGTAAGAGAAGTAAATAAAAAAAAATAATAATAATTTCAATTAAATTATTTTGCACATATCTAAACGTACTTATCGGGCCACGGTATTGCCTTGTATTGCTTCCACCATCTCTGAGCCACGTAAGACACGTAAAATCCGAGCACAAAACTCAGCGGAATCAGTTTGATCAGGGTGTCGCAATAGACAACTACTTGCTCGAACTCCCTGCAGTATGTGTGTGTTGCAATACATATATATACATGTAAAACATTTCGAATAAAGACAAAAACATTTCAATGAGATGGTTGAAAATAAACTTGGAACATAATGAAAACTCCATAAAATTCCTATATCTATAAAAAAAAAAAAAAAGAAAAAAAGAACAGAACGGAAAACACCTTTGCGCACCTTTTCTGAGCGGGGGTGAAGGCGTGGCGATAGAGCGCGGACAGAGCGCCGAAGAGAATCAAATAAAGGAAAAGTTCTCTGTAGATGAGCTTGTAGAGAGAACCGCGCCACATAAGCAGAAGCCTGGTGAATCCGCCGCTGGTCGAACTCGCGACCTCGTATTGATAAGAGACCGTCATCTTTCACCCCATTCAAGAGCACAGTTTCTTTTTGAGAACGACGTGCTCGCGAACACGTTGTCACTCATACTTCCAGAGATTCTCTCGTTTATGAAACCTGAGATCAAAAATTATTCCGCGATTGTGCGTGCAACCCCGAGTTTGCTCGAATATTCGCGTTTTTTTGTTTTTTTTTTTTTCACAGAAGAAAATGTTATTGTTACGCCGCATATAAATGTGTGAGAACAAATTTATTTTTCTGATTTATTTGTTTAAAAATTATAACGTTGTATATGAACGACGGATTGTTTGACGATTGCAACAATATGACGCCTATAAAAAAAAAAAAACGGTTGCGCGTCACAACCGGGACGTCATCGCGAGGGGAGAACGTCTCGAGGAGAAGACGTGACGAATCCGAGAAATATGCCAGCGCGGCGGTCTTGGGTCTTTTTCTCTCTGGGTGTGGGAAAATCGTCGTAAATATAAATATGTCTGATGTAGTAAAAAAAAATAATGTCTTTCGGGAATCGCGCCAGTAACGACGGCGACGACGGCGACGGTAAATATAACTTTAGAGAGACGGTCGAAGCAACCGAGAGAAGTGTCTGGATGCACAATGCACAATTTGCACGAGAGAGAGATTTCCGAGCGCGCGATCTTTGCGGCGCTCTTAAGAGATCGATACATCTCTTCGGAAGATCTGTTTCGAAGTGCGGCCAAAACGACACCAGCCTTCGCGTGTTTGGCACATTTTAGTTATTATCGTTTAACTTTTGAGACCTTCTCGAATGTGTGTGTGTATGTCTAAAGATAATTTTAAAATTGCAAAAGTTTTATACATACGTACAACGTTGCTTTTAATTAAATAAAAAGTACTTAAAATAAGAAATTTAAAAAAAAAATAATAATAATAATGTTAATAATTATTTTTAATTTTGCTGCTCTGGCATTTGTTGGCTGTTTGTTAAAAAAAAAGAAAAAGCACTTGCGAGACACTTCGCTTCAATTTCGGGTTCGAGCACAGATATAGCTATTGTATCGGAGAGATGTCCACGGGTAGTATATGATACACGGAGTGTGACACATCTCTCCGATGTATTAGCTTCGTTTCTCTTCGTCATTCGTGTCGTAATGGAGAACAACAGGTACTATTCGCTCGTCGGCGAATATGATGACGCCGTTAATAATGCACGCGCGTACTACGGTGCAAACGGTATCGTCGTCGACGTGTCTGACAATCGTCTCGATTGTCGAACTATATTTTCACACGACCTTACCGAAAATATCGTATTCGACAGAAACCACGGTCACTGTATATACGTGTGTAGTAAAGTGCAAATTTTAGAATTTCTTTTGGGAAGGAGAGGGGGGAATCCCCTTCGTGTGCCGGTAATTCACACAATTTCTGATTAAAGAGCGAATCATCTTCTGGACGCGAACGCTTGATCGTGTGTTTAAATAACACGCTGATCTCATCAAAAAGTTCGTTGCCTGAGTTCCTCATAGGAATTGAAAAAAATAAAAAAAAAGATCATCATTTATCGCAAATTTATTTGCGAGACATTTTAGTTTTTTCTCTTTGCACGTCGAAATACACCGATTATAAATCTTTACGCTCCCCTGACACATTAGTTTTCGCATCTTTCTTTACTTGTGCCCGAGCCCTTAGTTCGCACAACGAATGTCACACGAGTAATAAATGCGCATCGAAGTAAACATTCTCGTAAATATCAAATTTATCGCGAAAGCGACGCGCGTAAATTCATCAATAAACAAAGTTTCACTTTGAAACATCACTGCGTAAGTACGTTTTTACGCATCTTCGCGCTCGACTTCTTCATCTTATTACGCGCCGTATATTCGAACTTTGTCACGTTTCCGTATAACATCTTTGCCAAGAGATACTCTTACACGTTTTTCAAATTGTTATATTTTTCATATTTATTTGTAATATTAATATGTTAATTAATTGTTATACTTTTCATATTTCATAATGATTTGTATGTATGTATATATATATATATATATTAAATATTTAATTATTCTTATAGTTTTAATATGTCCCGTCAATTTTTCTATGCCGCGTTCAATGTCATCATTTAAACTCTAAAGAATACACTGATAAATCGACGATATTGACATTTGACTTACCGTATCAGCACGCTTTGTCCGTTACAATTAGCACACTTGTTATCTCATCCTTGCACAAACCCATTTTTCATCGTACGCATCGACGAGCATCTAATATATGCGGTCACTTTTGCGGTCGACTTATAAAAATTAATTAACAGCCGACATCTCTCTCTCTCTCTCTCTCTTTCCTTCCCGTTATATAATTTAACCAGCTGGCTGGAGCATCAGCCAATTTTTTAAGAAATATATATATATATACTATGAAAATACACGTCACCAAAAGTTAATTCGAAGTCCTCGTTAGCGGTCGTGATAAATCGACGCACGTCACAACTCTCATAGCATTATTAATAACTTCTTACGATAAAATAAATTTTCTCTCATTTTCTCCTCGTTCGAGTAGTAGAGAGAAACGATCTCTTTCGTAAAATAAATATAATACATTCTAGTGTTATATCGGGACACTAAAAGCTAAGTTAATGTGCGATGTTATTAACGAAGTTCTCTTTCACACTCTTCAATTTTATCTCTTCCACATAGCACAGTAAATTTTCTTTTTTTTTTTTTATTTAACATAAAGCTGAGAACGTGCTGATCGATGACAGAGATTTCGACTTTACTTTCTTAACGTTTCATTAATATGTTATGTCGAAACAACAATACGATTCGAAATCACAGGGGTATCGGCGATGGAGCATTTCCATTTCACGTACAATGTCTCAGTTTTTTTTATTCGCAATCTTTGTGAGAATTTTTTCCGCAGCTTCGCGATCTCTTGCTTTTCGAGAGCGAACCGTTCAGAATAATTTTCACAAGCATCCTCGGTTCTCTTCGATTCTCGTAACGGATTGCGCGTCGGAAAATCGCGAGGCGAGAACTTCGCGATGGGCAACGAGCGAGGGATTCCGCACAACTCGGGAGGAATCGCGAAAAGACATGATCGCAAGTGCGCACTTGGCGCTCGTCGGCGGCGAACTGTTTGTCGGCGAAGGTGTTGAGATTCGCGGCATAGTCGCGTTAGTCTCTCAGCCGAGATTTTAAACACTGTTTAGCTGGGCGCGATCGCAATCTCCAATGGCAGTTGCCCAAAATCTAAAAAGGGCCGAATGTCAAGCTCATGCACGCGCGTATGTATATATATATATATATTGCGCGTGTCTGCGCTTATAAAGAAAAGATGCGCGTTCTTCTTCCGTCTTCAATCGCAGGAAGCGTAAATACGAAGGTCGTATTCGGAAGTTTTGACACGTTGCAAAATGTACGATCTGCGATCTACTCCCGCGCACAATTGTCGGACAATTAAGGATTCGAATTTTGACTTTTACATTTTTCTTTAAAAGAAAATATAGTTGTTAGTGTGTATGTTTAAAGACTTTTAATTCCTTAATCCTCCGATATATATATATATATATAAAATTATATGTAATTATAATTATCATATTATATATATATATTTATAACCTGAGTTTGTTAGTAAGAAACTAATAAAATAGAAGAAACCTAGATATGAATCCTAAACATTTTTGAATCTTGTATATGTGTATATATATGTTTATAAAAGGATAATATGTAGGAAAAGTATGAGTATACATAAAAATGAACGTGTGTTTTTATGTGTTTACATAATATTATATATTCTGACCTTCTCTCTCTCTCTCTCTCTCTTTTTCTCTTTATAACTACTTGCGGAGCATTGATACACCCCCACAGTACACGTTTCTTTATATTGTATTTTTAAATACACTTTACATTTTTTTTCTCGCGTAACCATTGCCGCAAAAATGGTATAACAAACGCTTTAGAAATATAATTTTATCTTGATCATCAAAATATACGTTTACATATCTCTCTTGTATCATCTAAACATTAAAAAAAAATTATTGGTCCCCCTATATGTGGGTCTTTAAATATATAATATATTTGCATTATATATATTGACATTTACAATTTAAACATTACGCTCATCTGGCATATCAACGTCTCTCTCTTCCTCCGCTCCCTAGCTTAAAAAAAACAAAAACAGATGATTTCCAAAAAAAAATAAGAAGCCATTTTACAATTTGATAATTGTTCTTACACAGTCAGGTACATCTCAAACGAACTCTTTTCATCGCTTTTCGTTTGTGAGTTTTTACAGAAACGTCGCGTTTGTTCGTTGTGATAGTTTTATCATAAATCCAGTTAAAATGTCGGTGATTTGACACACGCATGAGGTACATTTCCGAATAAATCTCGCAATATCTTCTGAGAATTTAAATGAGAACGTAACTCTACATTATCGAAGAAGACAATCAATTTCTCTTACGGAGAATATAAATTTTAATTCTTTTTACAAGTGGAAATTAATGCAGTTTTATAACAAAGTAATCAATTGCGAATATCCTAAAATCTGCTAGATACATTAAAATGCAGTATATGTATCGTAATAAATCAATATAAAAAAAAAAAAAAAAAAAAAAAGACAAACTTACAAATTGTAAATGTAAAATTACTACACAGGGACTCGCAAGAAATAAGTTACTATCGATGTACTGCAAAAATATGCTTTGTGATAAATCTCGGATGATAACGTCCAAGGATATTTCGTTGTTTCATTATACAACAAAGTTTGACGGGAATATGTTCTATACAATCATAGAGTTACGACTGAGACGGTTTCTTACGTCTTCCAAATAAATTGCTTAACACAGAACTCCGTTTGTAATCGCGATCCTTTCGATTGCTGCCCGAGCTTTGTTCGCTTTCCGAACCGCTTTCTGACGCTCGTCTACTGTCCACTGTGATGTTCGAAGAAGATGATTGCGAAGCCGATGGAGGAGCGACGTAAGGTGGCAACGATGCCGGTCTGCCAGAGAAAGTGTTATTTTGTTGTTGCATACCCTGAAACAAAATGCGTGACTTTTGTTGTTGTTTCGAACGAGAGAAATAAATAAAGGACAGAACAGATGATGCATTGGCATATTGTATAACGCGATAATATACAGGTAAATAAGTAATTTACCTGTCTGGTGTTTACCGGTATATTTCCATATGCTGTAACAAACGAAAAAATGCAACATTTTTATTCCATCAAACTGATGTCGCTAATTTAACGTAACACATTAAGTTACAAAGTTTTCACAGCTGTGATAACAACTGTTATCACGTACACCAAATAGGTATTTACAGTGGTTTAATTGCCGTCAGTCACTTGCAGAGTTAGTATCTGTTAGAAAATCAAAGTGCGGATGTAACACAGCTTTTAGACAAAAATGTGTAACATGTGTAAAATTTTATTTTACTCAAAGTGTTTTTAATCAAAGCCTAGAGGAAAATCCGTTAGTAATCGCCTAATGTTTTTGTATTAATTTGTTTTAGAAATTATTGATTATTAATCTTAAACAGTGATGAGAATACATCTCTCGATTACCCAAGTAATGCAGTAAAATTGTAATCTTGTGCACGTAAATGTTCGTTATCAAGCAGTTTGGTGTGAATTTTTAGAAAGATGTCCAATCGATCATGCAAAACGTGAATGAGCTCTGACAAAATAAAAGTGTGTGAATGTAAAATGGTTACATGCGATTTTTGCACTCCTGAGCTTTCTGTAAATTGTGGAATATGAACGCTCTGTAATGACTGACCAGAATCGTGAGGAGTGTTCCACTGTGGTATTCTGGTTGACGGAGGGGCGGTCGATGGCAATGGAGGTGCATATTCTATAAAATGATGATCAAATGTGTGTTCATGTTTTGTCCACAAATTCCAAGTAAAATTTTCCTAAAAAACCCATCAAGCTCTTTTTTTTTCTATTATTAGATGATAATGTTACATACCTTGCGGAGGAAGTTCCACGCTGCTTTGTCGGTGCCACGTTGGTGGTGGCTCGTTCGGCGAATACTGTCCGGATCCGTTGTGATTTAACGTTGCGCTGCGTTGGTAGACATTGGACCTTCCTTGTTGCATATGTTCCACGTCTATGTGAGTTAATTAATTTTTATGTAAAAGTGCATATTACATTACAACATTGTATCGTACGATGCGAATAAGTTAAATTAGGTATCGCGTACCATTGCGCCTGTATTGTATCATATTTTCAGAACTGGGTGTTCGCATAGGGATAGGTGGGGGAGCGCCTCGCGGCGGTATCGGCGGTTTGTCGCTTCCCAGCATCGCGGAATTCGGATGATACTGATCCCGCTGAGCCGCCAGCTGTTCCTGCTGCATCAGTTGCTGTTGCTGCGCGAGCATCTGTTGCTGCCTGTGCATCTGCAGAAATTCCGTCTGTGTCTGAGGCGGGTCCAATCTCTGCGACGCCAGTAACGACTCTGTGTTCTGCGCGTCGTTGCGTCGCTGCTGATTCTGCCTGTGCATCTGCAGAAATTCTATTTGCACCGAGCTCGGCGAGTGCTGATTTATCGAGGCGGGATCGCGCCTGATCACGGAATTCTTGCGCTCCATCTCGGGCGTGGAAGCGCGGCTGCTGCCGGTCGACATGTTATCGTCCGCGTGCTCCAGTCCCGAACTCTGTAACCTCTCCAAACCCGCCTGTAATACATTTGAAGAATAGAAAATACATGTGTGTACATAAATCGCACGCAATCTAAATTTGTCATAAAACAGTGAAATAATTTTTAAAAGAGAAACAGCGGGAAATATCTCTCGCTATGGATGTGTGTGATTATTTCTAATGATCTGAGAGAAAATAACAATAATGTATAGTATATTTATTGCAAACCTTTTGAGACTCGTCGTAACTTAAAAGCTGCAAACTCGGCGGCAGTTTTGCGTGGAACGAGATTTTATTGACCCAATCCTCCATCTCTTCTTGACTCGGTGCTAAAAATAAGAACTCCGATCCATCCGTGCACTTCAGCCGGAATACATTCTTCTTCTTCGTATAATCGTCCGCCTTTTCGCATATGGCATTGAAAATGGTTATCGGGGCAGTTGCCGCTTTGCTCATTGAGAAATCCTCGGTGTCTTTAAAGAAGCACAGCAGTTGCCCGCACAAGACTGAAATAAATTGTATAAATTTTCAAACAGAACAAATTGCGCATGTGTTTGTGTATAAAAAAATTACTCTCATATATATAACTCATTAATTTGTTAAATACCAGTGTAATATTGTTTCCACGATCGAACGGCTGCCTTTTTGCCTGCGCTTTGAAGCTCGTGTTTCCGTTCGAGATAACCTTGAATTTCGACCGGTCGTAAAGCGTCCATGTTCTCTATTCGTTGCAGTTTTCTGAAGCTCTGCGTTCTTCGTCTGGTCGTGAAGCTCGGTGTGCGTTTTGGCTTCTTCGTATCCACCTTCATACTCTCGGCTCTCTTGATATCCGAAGTTGCTGTGAACACAATTCGACATTACACAAATTTACACACAAACGTTGTAACATTTTTTCATTAACGGCACAAACGCGAGAAAAAATTTATTGTCAATTCTTTGAACGGGAGTACACACCTCGTCTTAATTTTTCGCCAAATACGTGCGATATACCGTGCGACTTCTGAGATGTTGCGGGTTCCGCTGTTTCGGAAGCGCTACCTTTCAGCGGAGACAATCTGAGAAACGAGCGTTTGCATAAAACAAGATTGTTACAATTGAACAATATTTCAAATATTCGGTCTTAGGTTTGTGAATCATCACAAAGTCGTCGTTGCGCTTACATGTTCACAGATTCGTGCTCGTCGACGGAGCCGTTGACTTCGTCGTGTTGAGCGCGATGAGAATTGTCCAATAATCGTCTACGTTCCTCTTCGCGTTTTCGCTCCTCCGTTATTCTTTGAACCTCCTTCCGTTTTCGCTCCTCGATTCTCGCACGTTCCACGCGCTCCTTCTCCGCTTGGCGCGCTGCCATTTCCGCTTGTTGCTGTCTTTGGAACGCTTTTTCCAGCTGCAAAAACATTTATAATATGAAACTTGCGAGTATTATATATATATATATATCAAAAATCTTCGGGAATATCATCGCCAACGTTTTATTTTTTCTTTAAAATTTTGTTTCATCAAATTACATAGAAACTTACCATCGTTATCCGTTTAAGCGCGCTGAATCTCTCCTCTTGAGCTTCTATGGTCTTTTCGAAGTCCTCGTGCTTCCTTATCAGCTCCTCCACTTGCGATATACTCTCTCCGAACTTGTCGTCGTGCAGCATTGGCTCTCTGCTGGCTATCCAATTTTCCAAAGTTTCCGCGTCTCTCTTGAACTGCTGCGTGTCCAAATTCTGCTCGTAAATCTGTCTCCTCTGCTGCCACGTATCCTTCAGAATTTGTTGGCGTTGCTGTAACACCGATATCTTGTCCTCGATTTCCTTCGCCAGAAAGTGTCCTTGTTCAATCAACTCCTGCCCGATCTGATAAAACTTCTCGAAAGCCTCTTCGCGCGTGTCAATTTCCGATTTGTATTCGTTGTGTCTGGAGATCAACGTCTCGGCACCAGGAACGTCTCGCGCCAATTCCGGCGCCGTCACCTTCGCCACCATCTCGTTGATCCAGGACATCAGTTCCCTGTACTCGCCCAAATAAGCTTGCAATTGTTCCGCTTGGGCCAGTTTGCTTCGCCTCTGCGCTGCTTTCTCCAACAGATCAGCCCAGGCCGCTTCCGCTTCCTGATGCTTCACGTCGATGTGCACACGTGCGTCAGGGAACAGCTCGATCAGTCTGGACGCCTCCTCCATCAGGCACTCAACTTGCTCTTTCACAGCGGCCAGATCGGTTTCAAAGCCCTGGTGTTTTCTCACCAACGCCTGAATCGTTTCCAAGTCGTGTCCGTAACCGTCCGAGCTGAGAGCCGTTTCCTTTTCCTGTATCCAAGAGATGGTCTCGTCGGCTGTTCTGTCGAACATGTGAACCTGTTTGGCACCTGCTAACGCGTCTTGTCGTGCGTGCGCCAATTCTTTCAAGTCCTCCCACTGTTGTTTTGTCTCGTCGATTTTTAAGAGTATCTTGTTTTTCTCAGGATTGTTCTGCTCTATTAGCTTCTGCCCTTCGTCAAGCACAGCCAATACTCGGGCCTCACTGGTCGTTAATCCAGCTAGGAAATTATCGAATATCTGAATCAGCAATTCCACATGTTCCACGTCGCGGCCATAATCCTCCGAGGCAGCAATCTGTATTTTAATTGTTACATGAAATTATTTAATAAAATTATTTACCTCCATGTAATTTTTATTTATATACATGGCAAAAGAAATAAGTAGCGAAATATTTATGAAAAATTATAAAATATTAACAATCTCTTACCGTTGTTTGATCTCCGATCCATTCAATCACCTCATCCGCCTGTCTAATAAATTTGTAAAACTTTTCGCTTTCCGATAATCTCTGCAAACGATATTCCTTCAATTCCTGTAACTCTTGGAATTTCAGTTCAATATCCGCCTGTTTTTGCGCGATATTCTTGCTGTCAAAGTGATGTCGCTCGACTAGACCTTTTGAAAGTTTCTTCAAATTGTCAATAGTATTTTCGAAACCGGATAAATCACGTTCTATACTTTCTAGTTTCTTCAGCAGAGATTGAACAGAGTCTTCGTCCTTGCCGTAATCGATTGATGTCAATTGCGGATGCTTCTCTCTTATCCACTGCTCAGCTTCTGCGGCTTCGGCATAAAACTGTAAATAAAAACAAATTTGTGTAAAAAAATTTGTGTAACTCTTCTGTCACGTATTGAAATTGTTAAAAAAATATTGAAATATTTTCTTTTTTTTAAATATAATTCTGTATATAGCGCGTTAATGTATTTAACTTTTAATGTTTTTCTCAATTTTACTTTATTTTATATATATTAGTATTTTTTAGTTACCATTTGCGATTCCACTGCGTCGAGCAATCTCAGCTTTCTGACGCTTGCCAAATCTTGCAGATGCGACAACTTCTCTTGCAATTCTTGAAATAATTTTTCGATCTTATCCGCCGCGAAATGTCCACTTCTGATCATTACAGTTGCTCTACTAACCAGAGAAGCTACTACAGGCTCTCTGGACAATAGTTCAGCTTCCAAGGCATGATGTTTCTTTTGCAATCGTTGAACGGTGGTCAGAGAACTTCCCAAATCACTGCTAGCGGCCAATGGCTCTTTCTCTGACAACCAATGCAACTCGTCCTCGACGTCTCTCGCAAACTGATGTAGCAGCTTCGCGTCCTCCAGATTGTCTCTGCGTATCTGCATCGGTTCTTGAAGACTGTAATATCTGTTGATCGTAACCAACGCTCTTTCTTGAATCTCGTCGCACATGAAGTGGTTTGATTTCTGAAAACTCGCCGCAGTCTCCTTAATTGATTCACATGCCTCGTTGTGACCGAGCACATCGTTTTCCAAATTGGTGTGTCTCTTCAACAAATTCGCCACGCTCGAAAGATCTTTGCCATGATCCTCCGACTGTAACTGAGTTTCCACCTCGTCCATCCACGTTTCGAACTCGTCCAGAGTACGACCAAACAACAATGCTTGATACGCGTCGTTCAGACGATTTTTTTTCAACTCGCTGGTCTCCTGCAAGAGACGCCATTCTGCCTCCAGTTCGTCCAAACGTTCTTGTATCTCCCTCGAAGCGTAGTGATTCTCCTCAATGAGAGCTTCACCTTCGTTTATTATCGCCGCGATCCTACCTTTGTTCGCCATAAGTTCACTTTCGAAAGCGGCGTGCTTCTGAATTTTGCTCTGCAAGTTTGAAGAATCCCTGTAATTCTCATCGCTCGCTACCTGTTGCTTCTGATGTAGCCAGCCTTCCACCTCGTATATATTCCTGAGGAACTGATGTAAATGATGACTCTCCAAAAGTTTCTTTCTTCGGGCTGTCGCGCTATTCTTCAACTTGTCCCTTCTAGCACAAACGGAAGCGAGTCGTTGTTTTATTACGTCCGCATCCGCATGTTCCTGCAACAGGATGTTATTGGCAAACTTCTCAAGATCTTCAATACGTCCTAACTGAGACACGAGCATCTTTTCGAACTCCTCGTGCTTACGTAGCAGCGTCTCGACGCCCGATAGAGAGTCACCGAGATCGTCATTATTAAGGAATGCCTCTTTCGTCGCTAACCAACTGTCCGCCTGATCAGCTTGCTCTTTGAACAACTGCAATTGATGCACTTGCGTTAATTTCTGTCGGCGATCATCCCAAGCCTTTCCCAAGGTCTGCCTGAGTTCTTCCAGGTGTTCAAGATTATCTTTGACATCCTCGTCAATTGACAACAGCTTTTGACCATGTTCCTTCAGACCCTTAAATATATCCTGTCGACCGTCAATCTCTGCTTTTCTTTCCTGATGTAGTTCTAATACAGCCTCAGCTTCGGATATAGTTGTCGGTGGTTCGGATTCGTCCATGCGTTTAATCGTATCCGCCACCCAAATCTCCAATTCGTGCAGATCAGCTTGGAACTTGTGCAACGTGTAGGCCTGATTCAGAGCATCGCGTCGATGTCGAGTCAAACGTTGCAAGTCGTCCCAGTTAGACTGAAGCTCAGACAATATGCCGTTTATCTCGGCCGCCTTGTCCGGATATTTGTGCGACAAATTTCGCGCCTCCGCTTTATGTTCTTTCAATTTGCCTTCAATCGCTGTCATATCTCGCTCCATAGCCTCTTGTTTTCTTTGTAATTGATCGACAGCGGGCAAATCCTTTCCTGTGTCACTAGTATTCATAGCTACTGATTTTTCGATAACTCTTTGGTTTGTGTCGTCTATGTCCCGGTTGAACAGATGAATCTCGAGTGCTCCCGCTAACATTTCTCGATACGTACCGAGAGCACCTTGCAAACCTTTCCACTTATTGTTGAAATTATCCCGTCTTTGCTGAATTGCCTTTGATTCATTATCGCGACCCTGTTTTATAAGCTTATCCGCCAGAGCGTTGATCGATTTTATTCTGGAATCGTCCACTCGCATGTCGCTGTCTACGTCATCGAGTTTTCTTTGAAGGCTCAAGCAGTGCTCATAATCCTTTCCGGTATCACCGGCTTGAACCATCATCTCTTTGTCTCTTATCCAAGCCTCGATTTTCTCCACCTGATTGTTAAATTCCAAAATATCTTGAGCCTCCTCCAAACCTCTGCCTCGATTCCCAGACTCCAATAGCAATTTTCTCCAGGACGCCAGCAAATGTTCCAACTGTTGACGAATTTCCGCGCTTGCCGGATGTTTTCGCGCTAACAATGTCTCCCCTTTGGCTTTGATCTCTTCGATTCTGCTCTGATTTGCCGCAAGTTCCGCTTGGAACGCCTGATGCTTCTGCAACTTCTTGATCTTATCTTCCAAATTGGACACCTCACCTTTCGACGCTTCCGCTTCCAGTTTCTTCTGTTTTTCACCTATCCACGATTCGGCCTCGCCAACGTCTCTTACAAACTGCGCGTGCAGTAAACTGGCTTCTAGTCTCTTTCTTCGCGCGCCGCACAGATCCCGAATTCTCGCGCGTCTCTGTATGACCTCGTTCAAACGCCGCGCAATTGTCGGCGAATCGAAATGATCTTGCTCGAGAAGCTTATTACCGTGTTCTTGCAGAGCTGTCAACTTTTCCTCGTGCGTGACCAATAGCTTCTCAAACTCGTTATGTTTCTTCATTTGCGCGTCCACTTCCTCGACCGAAATCCCGAAGTTGTCACCGCTTAGCGCTGCTTCTTGAGTACTAGACAAGGTATCAAGTTGTTTGGCGTCTCGCAAAAAGAAATGCAAGTCAATCAATTGTTCCAAATGCACTTTCTTTTGTTGCCACGCCATGTGCAGCCTCTGCCTCTCATTCAACAGTTGATTGCATTTTTCTTCGACCTCCGTGGCGGCGTAGTGACCAGTTTGCACCATTGCCTCGCCTAGATCGAGTACCGAGCTGAAACTGTCTTCTCTCGCTTCGATTTCTCCTTTAAGAGCCTCGTGCTCGGCCTTCAGAGTCTGCGCACTGGCCGCGTCTCGAACTTTTTCTTCCGTCGACATTGTAGCGCACAATCCGGCCGCCCAGTTCATCAAATCTCTGACCTGAGTGAGGAATCGTTGCAAATCACAACTAGCCTGTAACTGATCCCTTCGATGAGCGGATCGTTCTTTCAACTCCTCCCAATGAGCCACAACAATCTGTTGCTGTTGATCAATGTGCACCGCATTGTTGCCCGGATAATGAGCCTGCAATCTGGACGCGTCTTCGACTAAGACTTGCAATTGAGCCTCCAAAGCGACCAGATCGTTCTCGAAACCCTCGTGGCGTCTGATCAACGCCAGAACAGAATTTAAGTCGCGTCCTAGATCCTCCGGTAGAGCAGCCTCTTTCTCCTGTATCCGCGACAACGCTTCCGCCACGTCACGGTGGAACCGGTGAATCTCGCCTGCTGCTTGTAACCGTTGTTCGCGATTTCGAATGAGACCCAACAGATGCTGCCACGATTCCCTGATAAACAATAAAGTGCCAAGAATTATTCATCTGTTTCATCTTCTAAAAATTAATCATTTTAATATATTTACAAAACACTGTTATATAAATTTTCACAAAAAAAAAATATAAAGAATTCAGAGATATTAAAAAAAAAATTAACGGGGTTTGTGTGTGTGCGAGTATAAAAAAGATTACGTATCCATCATAATATAATACAATTTGTTAATGCGAATGTGTGATGAGACATTCCAAGTTACCAAGCAAGTATCAACTTACTTCATTGCTTCGTGTTGCTTTTGTACTTGAAGCACCGGATCGTCTTCGTCAGATCTACGTTGAATAGTGTACATAGAAAGAATGTTAATGACCCAGCACCAAGAAACATAGAAATAGATAGTTTTTAATATCAGCTACATATTATATATGAGCTATATAGAAGAATGTAACTGTCCACCATATTAATATACTTCTACCATCTTACATTGCTTACTTATGTGCAAGTGATGAGATATTCCAGTCTCACAAAGACAAGAAGAAATATTGAGAAATATTGGGAAATAGTAGAAATAAAAAGAAACTAAAAGCAAGACAACCTTCCTCTTATTTATCATTTACTCCGTTAAATAAAACTTTACCCTAATTGTTCCTGTCGCTTCTCGATGTCCTGAATGTAAGGACTCTCGTTCGCAATTAGCTTCCTGGCCAATTCCTCGCACTGATTGAATCTTTCCGAACCGGCCTCTATTCGATGCTTGAAGTCATTGAATTTCGCTTGCAGCAGCAACAGATGCTCGTAATCCTGTCCGTAATCTTCTGACGCGGCCGCTTGCTCTTGTTCCTTTATCCACTGCTCCAATTCTCTGCTTTCTAAGAAATATTCGTGACGATACATGCTCTCCATCAAACGTTGTTGTCTCACGGTAGCTAACCGCTGCAAGGCGCGCATTTGTTGGACAATCGCTTGCTGCTTGTTGGCTATCGCCTTGCTGTCGGGATGCTTCGAATTTATCATCGTAGAAGCGGTATTTCCCATTTCTGTCACAATACCGTTGTACGTGTCTAACTCAAGCTCGACAGCCTATAAAACAATTATATAAAACATTTTTTTACTGGAACTGTTGATAAAGTAGTAGAAGATTTGATGAATAAAAATGTTTGCCGCTTTAATGAAGCTACCTTGTGTTTCGTCAGCAATTTCGTGGCGGCGTCACGATCTCTGCCGTAATCGGTCGAACTCAGCACGTCGTTCTTCTCGTTAAGCCAGCTCTCGACCTCGCCGGCTTCGAAGAAAAATTCTTGCGCTTTCAACGACAGATCTAATGCTCTGCTACGCTCTCCCGCTTTATCTTGCAAGTCTCGCCAAGCGTCATCCAAAACATCGCACAGCTCTTGGATCTGGTTAAAATTATATTGACGCGATATTATTTACTCACGATCGTCTAATAGCGTTTGATTTATTAAAGTTTTCAACATCATATGTTACTCGCATGAGAAACAAATATGAATTATATATAACTCAAGTAACCGCTATCTCTTTCGTTTTCAAAAAGCTTTCGACTTCGGCGTGGAATAATATCAGTCACACGCTGACACTGCCTTAGAGTCCTGTTGCTACGACAGAAGTATCAGTTTGCGCCTGCATGCAACAACAACGTCTAATATCTCTTGTCTCATTTTTCTCCCGACACTTATAATACGAAGCAATGATTCAAAAAGAAGAAGCTTGTTGCAACTTACAAGTTGCGTTACTTGTCTATTGTATTCGTGTTAAAAAAAAAAAAAAAAAAAACAATTTTACATAAACACAACTGTTCAAAAGTACCAAAACAGCTTTTTGTATAATAAGAATCAACGCTAATGTAAAAACAAAAAATTCATGTAACTTCGAATATCGTGTTACAAAGGTGTGGAACGAATATATATATTAAAAAACCTACAAAAAGACACAATAATTTGTTAATTATATAAAATCAAAATGTGTGCCGGCTATAACAAGTGTGTAACTTTTTATTGACATAAGAAAAGCAATGGACACATTTATGAGAACATCTTCCATGCATCTGTGCGTCTACCCTTACCTTCGTAGACCCACTGCCCTTCGGAACGCGCCAACTGTGCAAAAATCACAATTTCTTACTCCAATCTCGCGCCAGCCAATTCATTGTACGAATCCGCGAGAAAAATGAGATTATTTGGTCACAAGAGATAATCTCTCTAGCGATTTATACCTTTTTCTTTTCCGGATGAGCCTGATCAATGAGCGTCTGTCCGGAAACCAGGGTCTTGTCTATCATCGGTTGGTGACCGGCGATCTCCGCTTCCAGCTTTTTGTGCTTCTTGTGCAAGGTCTGGGCTTGGTGTAGATTTTGTCCGAGCGTCGTCGAGGATGCTTGCGGCATGTGGTCCTTGATCCATTGCAACTCGGCATCCAGTTCGAAGCCGAATTTGTGGAAGCGCAAACTTTCCTCCAATGCTTCACGACGTCTCTTGGCTGGTTCTTTTAGACTGCGGAATCTAAAAAAGTATCATGTACATATAATATTGTCATTTAATTATTAAAAAATTGTTTCTCCTTGTTAGATAAATTTCTTTTTTGTTAAAATTGTTTTTTTTTTTCAAAGATAAAATATGTAATTGAAAAATATGAAGTGCATACTTCTTCTGCGTAGCTTGACTCGTCTTCAGAATGTTCGCTGCATCGAAATGACCCTCGTGCGCCATCTCCTGACCCATGGCTACAAGATCGTCCACCTTCTGTTCCCATTGGCACATATCGCTCTCGAGAGTCTGATGCTTCTTCAGTAATTCCTTGCAGCTGCGAAGATCTGTGCCTACTTGTTTGCTCTGCAAACAGATTTCTATCTCTTCCAGTTTCAGTCTGGCATCTTCCATGGTGCGATTGTATCCATGTTGCATGGCGGCTTGTCGCAGTCTGCGACCCTTCTCCAGCGATAATGCCACCAGATGCTTCCACTGGTCATTTAGATCCTTTAAGGTTTCTCCCACATCGTCCGATCTGTAATTTTCTTCAGATATCAGTGCTTTGCCCGCCTTGTTGACTGCTCTTAACTGGCCTTCGTTAGCGCGCAGCTCTCGCTCGAAAGCCTCGTGCTTCTGCAATTTGCGCTCGAGATTGTTCAGATCGCGATAGCTCTCATCGGACGCGGTCTTCATCTTGTCGACCAACCAGTTGCGTAGATCATCTACTTCAGCCGAAAATTGCTGGTAATGTTCGGAAGCTTTCAAGGCTGCTCTTCGGCGCTGAGCGGCTTCCTTCACTGCCATACGACGTGCCAATACTTGGTTTCTTCTCTCGTTAATGCTAGATATAGACGTACACATTTATAAGATTCAATACACATAAACCATTTATATACTCATTTTTTTTTATCACTCATACTTCAATATCATGTAACAAATTTAATTAATATTGTCTCTGACACTTACTAATCTTTGTCATAATGATCTTGAGCGATCAATTTGTCCGCGGTGTCGCTGAATGCCTTCAACCTGTCATCTTGCGCGTGAAGAGTATTCTCGAACTTCTCGTGCTGCTTCAACAGAGCTTCGACGTCATCTAAAGATTCGCCTAAGTCAATGAATTCAAGAAAAGCTTCGTGAGAACTGGTAGTGGCTTCGATTTGATCGGCCTCCCGATTAAACTGTTGCAATTCCAGGCACTGTCGTAACCATTCCTCTTTCGCCATCCAGTCGGCTGATACTGCTGGATACAATCCATTTAGCTTGTCCAAACGTTCGCGTACATCCGTCAAAGCCGGATTACGACGTAACAATTCTCGTCCAAGATCTTCGACTTCGTTAAATCTGCAAATATGTGAAAATCATTGTTTCTTTCTTTGCTTTATTGCGTGTATATTTATTTTATACAAATTATTACGGTAACAATTGATTATTACGTACTCATCTTCTTTGGTTCGTATTTCTTCTCCGAGCTCCATGTGCTGTTTCTTCAATTGTTCGGCCGTGGCAACATCTCTCACTGGTTCTTCAACCTTCATCGTCTCTTGTATATCCGTGGCCCAGTTAATCAAATTCTTCGAGCTGTTCATGAATATTTGTTGGCCGACCGCATCCTCTAAACGGGATCGTCGCTCCTTGGCTTTTGTCTGGACTTTGTTCCACAGATCTTTGATTTCGTTTTGTCTCGCGTTCACGTTGTTGCATTCGTGCGGATATGAATTCTTGACACTATTGCCTAACAAATTTACTTTCCGTACCTGTGCGGAATTAAATTACAAGAGAGTTAACTCTTGTTGATATTTATTTTTTTTTTTTGCTATTGATCTTATTCATAATAAAATAATCAAAATTCTTTACCTTCTCCTCGACCGGCGCCAATTCTCGTTCCAGATGTTGATGTCTTCTTTGTAAAGCTTGCACGGTCTTTAAGTCAGGTCCTAACTCGGCCGTGTCCAGTTGTGTAATTTTTTCCAGCATCCAATCGTGCGCCTCGTCGCAAGTTCTGTTGAACAGCTCGACGCTAGATGCGCCTTCTAAACTTTTTTCCTTTTGCGTCTTCAACCAGTTCAGATGATCCCACAGCTGATGAATGTGTTTCTGCCTGGCCTTGACCTTGTCCAACTGGCTGTGACCTTGGCGAACGAACTCATCTACCGCTGTATCTATTGCCTCCACTCGTTTTCCGGATGCTGACAGATCCGTCAAAAACTTTTCGTACTTCCTTCTTGCCGTCTCGACATTGTCGCGAGAATCGTCGGCTCTCAGCATCTTTTCTTTGTCCTTAATCCACTTTTCAAAGTCGTCGCATTCCCGATAAAAACCATAGAGCCTGATGGCGTCTTCTAGAAGTGCGTGACGTTTCACAGCCAGTTCTTGTAGTTCGCTGTAAGTCTCATTGATCTTCTTCTGACGCTTCTCTACACTATCGCCGTCGTTAACCGTCTTTCGCTTAACCGGCTTCACAGTAGATTTGATGGACTTCAGTCGCCGGACCGGCACCACTTGCTTCACCATTTTTGTTTTCTTCACACGCTGTGTCACCTTGACTTTCTCAGGCTTTCGTACTTGCACTTGAACGATTTTCGGCTCAATCTCACGAACATAGTTAGCCGGCACGAATCCATCCGTGCCGTCGGCCTTTCTGACGCTCCACCAATCAGGATTTGTCTTGTTCAATAAGAACATTACTTCACCCTTTACCATGTGCATGCCCTGACCACTGAAAGGATATAGACTCTTCACCTGCGGCACTCGCCTATCCTCCTGAACAGTCCTCTGCTCCAGTCGCTCGACCACCTCGTCCACCCACTCGTCTTGAGGCACTAACCTGATCTCCTTACTCCACTCTTCTTGTTCCAGTTCAGCGACTGGTTCAGGATCGGCAGATAACTCCAAAGTGGAGATACCAGACTTGATGAGCTTCTCCGCCTGTGCGTTCAGCGACTGCACGTCGCCTTTGTAAGCGTTCAGTTCGCCTTCCAGATCCTTGTGCCTCTGCAACAAAGCCTGAGCGCTCGGCTCGTCCACACCATAATCTTCCGAAGCAACGAGTGTCATCTTCTCGTTCATCCACGAGTCCGCTTCGTTTGCGTCGGCGTAAAACTGGAACGTCTCAGCCGCGTCGTCCAGCTGCTTCTTTCTCAATGCCGCCAGTTCTTCTAAAACTCTCCAGTGCTCTTGCAGCGAGTCTATACGATTTTGTATTTCCAACGCTGAAGGATGATTATCAGCTATTAACTTCGTACCAGCGTCGCAGAGCTGATCGGATTTTGGCCTGCGCACTTTCATCTCGTCTTGCAAAGCTTTATGTTTCTGTTGCAGCGATATCACGGCTCGCAAATCCTTCGCGGATATACCGGCCTTGCATATTCGCTGCTTCTCAATCAGCCAAGATTCCTCGTCCTCGTGATCCTGAAGGAAATGAAAGAAATTTCTAGCGTCTTCGAGACGAGCCTTGCGTTCCTTGCTGTTCTCCACTAGCTCGTCATAGGCCTGATTCAGTAGTTCCAGTTTCTGCTGCAACAATGGTGCTTCCTTGCTTTGTGGTTGCGTCAGATGTTGAGCAGCCTGTCTGCCGAGTCGTCTCTGGCTCTCGCCCAAAGCGGTCACTTGCAATTCCTGCAAACTATGTTTCTGTAACAGATCCTCAACCCCAAGTAGATGCGGTCCTACGTCGGTGCTTTGGAAGTTCACTTGGAGTTCCTGAATAGAAGCCAGAGTCGTGTCAATTTCTCTCATCAGGCTCATCAGTGAGGAAAGTGCGACAAGATTGGACTTGTGATGATCCAGTAGAGCCAACAGTTCCTTCCATCTCTGCAGCACTTCTTGCTCTCTGCTCCGAACTCTTTCAAGACCGTGATAATTTTCGCGCACCAGTTCTTCGGACATGTTCGTCAAATCGTGGAAACGTTCCTCGCGCGCCAAGATATCGGCGCTGATAGCTTCGTGCTTCTTCACCGTGGCGTCAACTTGCGCCAGGTTGCTTCCGTATCTGGGATCTGTCAGCACTTGAATCATCTCCTTTAAATAACCTTCTCTAAGTACGCTCTTTCGCTCGAATTTATAGTTTAATTGCTCCAATCTCTCCTGTCGCAAAAGTTCGGTTCTAAGAGCGACCTCGCGACGATGCTCCGCCCTCTCCAACTCCACCCAGTTTCTCTCGATGTCCTGGACTAGCTGGCCTTCCTGCGGAATGAATGCCGGCTGATTCAAAGACTTCAGCCGGGTGTTTATGTGAAAGTACAACGCCTCTATCTCGGACCGTTCTTTATACTTCGGCGGTTTCTCCACCGTGCGGTATTGCTTGAAGGCTAGAAGTTCCCGTTGGATACCTTCGAGCGAGTTTGGAAAACTGCGATTTTCCAAAATCTCGATCTTCATTTTGATCCACTCCAACAGGTCGGTTGTAAGCTTCTCGTAGTGGATCTTCATCTTATCGGCGTCCATCATTTGTCCGACAATCTGTTTGAACACATTTAAATTTACATATATAAAGTTTAATTACATTTACATAGATGATTCGCAGATGTAAAAAAATGTTTAAATATGGAAATTTGAAAATTTATATTCTTATACAAATTTCTTACACACACATCCGTACAACTGTGAGTACAACTATGTGAAATGGAATTTTTGTTTTTACTCGCGTGCTCGCACGTACATTCGCTATTCTTTTTCCGCTCTTTATCTCGTTTTTCATCCTCGCGAACGTGTGGTAATAAGACGCAACGTAGGTGATAATGGACTTCTCGTCCGGCCTGGCCGTGTCGACGTCTTCCGCGTCCAAAAGCCGCGGTATACCGAGTTCGGAGTTGGCGACGTCGAAGGCATAATTGAGATTGTCGATGTTCTTGTTTTGTTGCAATTCCGACCAATTGACCAAGTCCGGTCTGTGAGCGTGTATGAGAGCGTTGAAACCGAGGCCGCTTCTCCATGATCCTAGAATTTGCGTGAAAAATATTTTTTTAGAGATATTTTTTCTTATTTATTCTTTCACATATTTTTCTGTACTTTTTTTTTTTTTTAGCTACGTATACACAAAACACAGACATAGGTTTTTTTTTTAATTTTCGCAAATTATTTCACGTTGATTTTGAAAAATTCGAAAATTTGAACAAAGTTTGAATTCACATTAGATGAATTCGCGCGCAAAATCTTAAATCTAAATATAGACGCAACGCAAATTTTTTCGACGCATTTAAACACATATATACAAATTTGTTCCAAACTTCTTTTTGCTGTGACATTTTGAAGAATTTTGAATATTCATGCCGGCGCAAATGGTATGCGAGAATGAAGAAACTCGTTCTCTCACCGGTAAAGTCCTGGATGTTGACGCCGGGATAGCCGTTCGTTTTTCTCTGACACCAGAGCAACAGAGCATCCTTGGCAGACTTTTTCTCGCTGCTGTCGTTCTCCTCGTCCACGTCGATCTCGATCTCCTGAATTTGAAATCTCAATATTATGGTCCAGATGAGACCTAGGATCAGTCGGGGATTGCCGTCGACGATATCTTCCGCGCCGATGCTCTCGAGACGAACCTGCGGAAAAGAACGAAAGAGACGAAATAAACTATCGCGATCTCTTCTGAAAACGCGCGCGTAATATGCGCGCGCGCGCGAGAGAGAAGAAGAGAGAAGAGACTTCAACCTCTTGTGTATTACACGGTTATTCGCGGAAGAAGATATTTCTCTCCTATTTGCGCGAATTTATCGACGTCGTTCCCCGCGTGAACGCGCGCGCGATGAATATTATTGTATTATTCCGCGCGCGGCGGCGGCGGCGGCGGCAAATCGCACGGATCGCTAAATCGAAACGCTTGCGCGCGGGAATTAATTTTGCGAGAAACGCGCCGTGGAAACGCAATCGGCCGCGCCGAGCGTAAAAGGGTTCGTAAAGTCGACGGAATGAGAATGGCAGAATTCTAAATGCATTTAACGTGTGGAATGCGACTTCTCTCTGCGGATTGACTACCGCGGACATTCACTGGACCGGCGCGCCGCGGAATACGTACGTACGTATATATACTCGCGAATTGATCTCTCGTGTTTGATCCTCGAAGAGAAGACAAGACAATCCGCATCATCCCGGTGTGGAAATCACGGCGCAACGCGAAAAAATGTGACACGATTTTCACTCTCTCCTATCTTACAGGCAGCAACTTCGCGATCCGCGCTATCATCGGACTCCACACGGGCGGTCTAGAATTTTATCTTTCTCTCTCCAAACAAATATATATTTATCTATATCTCTTTGTTCCTTCAGAACTTAAGCGTTTTCAAAGCGTGCAAAATCGCTCTTTTTACTTTTTACAACCGAGTAACGACGATGCAATTTTTGTCGTTTTTTCTAGAAGCGACAAAACGAATCGGTGAAACGGAGTCTGGGAAAGTTGGTTTAAGTGTAATTTTTTTTTAAACAGAAATTGCTGCAAAACGATAAACTTTCGCTGTAAATCCTCTTATTCCGTTCTCTTTTGTATTTCGCAGCGCTTCGAACTATAATAGAAAAAAGCCATATTACACACCAAGACAGAGTCGACGAGCAAAGAGACTCGAGATCATTTATTTCATCTTATCGTTTATTTATTTATTTATTTTTTTTTTCCGTTTCTTCTATTTCAGAAAGATAAGATTTTCCAAGTTGAAGAAAACCTAAATACTCTTGCTCGGGAAAAGAAAAGTTTTCGAGTCGATTCGTTCATTCTCACAAAAGGTTTCTTCTATCGGTAAAGCGCGAAGTCGGTCGGCCGCGACAGATCGGGCCGTGTAGCGGTTTTCCTACGGCGACTAACCGCGCATTCTTGGCAGGACTGCGGAATGTCGATCGCAGGCACGCGGGACTTTACGCATTTAGAAAAAAGAAACTCCCCCCGGCTTCTCTACAACACTTGGCGACGTACGTACGTAACGCGTACGTGCGCGGCGACATTTCCAGCCTGGATGGAGATACGGAGATTCCACGGTCTGTGTCTTTCGTCACACGCCGTTTCGAGAAAAAAACGCGCGGAACGAGTCTCTCTCTCTCGCGGAGAATTCGCGCTCGCGGACATTATTTATCTTGAATAAAAGTGGGTTAATGAAGCTCTCCCGGACGCGTGTTTTTTTGACGAGATCGCGCTGCAGCAGCAACTCCGATGTGCGCACGTCATATGTATATATTAAATATACGCGCGCACGAGATAACGTGCGATTGGATTTGTGATATCTACTGCGACAAAGCGCCGAGGCAATAAGAAGAAAAACGGATTAAGCGGTTATCTCTTCTATCGGCAACGATGCGCGAAGAAATCACGTCATCGCCGCGTAACCACCGTCGAGTTACGGCGAGAGAGAGAGAGAGAGAGAGAGAGAAAGAATTTTGCGCTTTCCGTGTATAAAGTACAAGGTTCAAGATCCGCTGGCTGAAGGACGACGTTAAATCACAACCGCGGGGATGATGTTCGGAGTGTCTGTTAAATTGAAGATCTCCGTTAGGTAGACGAAGGTATATATATATATATATACGATCCTCTCCGGCTTTCAAACTCCGTCTCGCGCTTCTCTCGCACGCGCGAGAACCGACAGTATTTTTTTTTTCTTTTTTTTTTCTTTTTTCTAGAGAGAAGCAAAGAATCAGAGAACGAGTTCGAACGCGCGACGATATCACTGATTGATATCGCCCGTCAAATCGGGAAAATTGCGCGCGCGAGCGAGTGCAGTCGCCCGAATTGATGACGCGTAGAAAGTTTTCTTCTTTCGCGACGACGCTATAATGCAAAAAGAGAAATGTGGAAGGCCGCGTACGTGCGAACGCGCAATAATAATACGCGCGACACAGGACGGAGGAGGAAAGCAAAACGTGAACTCGCAAAAGTAAACGCGACGAACTCGAAATCCGTCGAGAATCGATAAGTTACGTGCGTCGCGTTTAAAGGAACGTGTTTACAAGTGCGGCGATTATCGCGTGTAAGATAAATATCTTAATGACCGTTCCCCCCGGTCGGACACTCGTTAAAGTTACAATTGTGCAACGAAATATATTTATATCGCGCGATCATTATTTAAAAATATAAGAAAGATATTTGACACATCGTTCAAGTTTAATATTGAAAAAACTGTTAATATTATATTTCTCTGATATTTCTATTTTTATATTAAAAAAAATATAAATATTACATTGGAAGATATAAATATACTCTTTTACACGTCTTTTGCATATTTCTCTGTGTGATAAAATGTTTGAGTATCGCTGAAACGTTTTTACCTTAAATTCGGTTACGTTTCGACGTGTCCCGCTTCGCAATCAGGTGACAATCAGAAGACGCGCGGTCACGCGTGAGAACAATCAAATATTTGTTTGGGAATGAAATCCGCGCGAGGACACGGACCGACGCGGGTTTTTTTTTTTTTTTTTTTTTTCGTTCGACGCGGCGGCTCTCCGCGTGAAATTCGCGTGATTCGACTCTGTGGGAAACAACGGGAAAGGATTCGCGTGGAATGCGTAAGGACGAGAGGCTTGTTCGCGCCTAACGCACAATTTGCCAGAATAAAAAATGCTAGCTCGAATTCTCTCTCTCTTTCTTTCCTTCTTTCGAGCACGCACGGTGTATGCTTCGCGATAACACGTATTTGCGATAATTGACTTGCGATTGTTGCCGCTTGACCGCTATGCGATCGGCCTTGCGTTATAAGGCTTCTTCGATTTGTTCTCTCGTCTCTCGTCTTCGCGGAGAAGAGAAGCGGTTGCCGAAGAGCAGTTTCCAGGAATCAACAGATACACATCGGACGACTCTCCCTTGATCCTCGACTCTTTCTCTCCTAAATCGCTACGCAACTACCGATGTCGAATGTACATCTGTTACATCTTTTTACCGCATTCGTCAGTTTGACGAGAGGATTTGGAAAAGACAGCGAATGCGCTTTTGCGGTTGCGTTCTGTTTCTATTCGCCGTCAGTATTGAAAATATCTATAGTTCATTCGCGCGACACATATTATGTAGATTTCCAGTTCACCGGCGGTGAATCTCGATTCGCACAGCCTGTGTTTAGTTTATTTAAAATGAAAGTTATAACTGAAAAAAAAAAAACAACATTCAACTCATTAAGTCATTCGTCTTCAATTAAAGCGGAAAGAAATCTGTGAATGTTGCTCGGTAGTTCTAGAGTGTGTCTGTTAAATATTCACTACTTAATCTACTCAAGCGATTGTTATCCGCTCACATTTATGACAAACCGCGATGCGAATTAATTGTAACAATACGCTCGCGTGTGCTCGCACTCTAAACTTTCCTTTCGCACACAAAACACTCTCGGTGTTTATTCGAGAGAATTGGTGTCACACAGCGCGCTCGCTCTTATTTCGATATTTACACACTTCTCAGAGATCGACCGCCGCGATTGACGCTAAGATAACACATAATCTATACGAATTGTTAAAAAACGAGCAACATTGTTGGGATAAGAGACGTGAAATCGAGTAACAAACAAAATCCTGTTTTCTCTCACAGCATTGTCTCACACGAGCGAGAGAAATAATAAATTATCGGTTGAGCCGAGTATTTCACATTTTCAGTTGAGAAAACTCTTGTCCCAGTTCCTCTCGGAGAGACCATCTAAATTTATTAACGGAATAATCCGCTTATATATATATATGCCGCTTATCTTCTCTTGTGCGTGCTTTTTTTTTTTTCTCAAACGATATCAGTTGGCGTTGCTTGACTCAGCGACCGTGTATACGTATGTTAGAAGTAATATGAGATCAGACAGGATTGCGCGCTTATAACTGGTATAGGAATGACCGATTGACACGTGCAATATCAATCAAAGCTTCTCGCCAGCGAGGAATTATTACGTGCGCGCGTCGAATACGTGTCGTTGTTAATGTGCGCACTCTTCGCGATATCCATCAGGTGTCCGACCTGGTCCTGAAACACAGCACGCACGTATACGCGCAACTTCACAGGCTCTTCATATTATTTTCGAAATCACAATGTGCTTCCAAAACAACCAACTACTGTTGCTTGCTTCTTCATGTATTTTTCTCATCGAAATAAATAATTTTGTTGTGTGTTTCGTTTGTTCTCTGAACGTTTTTTTTCTATTTTATTTCGCATCTACGAAGTTTTATGCCGTTATGCGTCTCTCGTACATCATCTTCTTCATCCGACTATCTTCTTCCTTTTCTCTGGGCCTTTCTCTCTTCGTTTCCTTCTTTCTCCGTTCGGTCTCCCTCGTTGCATCTTCTCGTCGAGCGCCTTTCGATTTGCGAGCAACCGAAAATTAACCGAAAAGAAGTAGGAAAAATCGGGAAGAGTCCGACTCTTCATCATCTTCCTTTTTTTTTTTTGGTTTTTTTGTTATTTCTGTTCTTTGGCGTGTTTCGCCTCATCACTCTGTCTTTTTTTTTTTTTTTTCACTCTCATCTTCGTGAATTTTCTGCGGTGTGCGTGCGATGGGAGCCGATCTTTTCTCAGAGCGTCCGTACAAAATACCTCCCTAATTACTACGGAGTTAAATTCCATCAGGTGCCCCAACGAAGGAACCTTTGCGCGACATGGTCATCGCGTTTGAAGAAACCTCACCAATTCGTTCAACGTTCACAGGTTCTCCCTTTTGTTCAGGTTTTCTCTTTTTTTCCTTTACGATTTTTTGAGTTCTCTCATTTTCTGAAATCTCTCGTACCACAATGGCGCGCTGTTAGCCACCGTTCCTTTCTCCCGATCACGTTCTTCTCTCTCTCTCTCTCTCGGTTATTGTTAACGCGAAATGAGCTTTCCACAAAGATCGTTGGAATTCAGTTTATAAAGAGTTGCATATATAACTTATTTGTTCGTAAACCAGGGTGTTACGGAAAGCAAAATATTTTGTAAACTCTTGTATGTGTGAGAGAATCAAATAAATGTAACGAGACAGAGATAAGAGTACCTTTCGTTCGCTATCTTTTCGGTTTTTGCTATTCGAAATTATTGCGGGAGTGGCGGATTTTCTTAGGCGAAAGAGTAAGGATAAGAGAATTCGCCGAGACACTCGCTTGCAGACTGTTTGCTCATAACGGATACGATCGTCGTCGTATCATCATCCAGAAATAACTTCTGTCCTTTTTCGAAGAGCTCGGGGTGGTGGGAGGTGAGATTGTCACCGTGAAAGATGCGCGATAAAATAAATATGATCGATTCGCACGGTGCGACCGGGCACACAAACCAAATTTGACGTACACAGAGACTTTAAACTCTCTTTTACGACTGACGAACTTTTTGTAAACGGTCGGTTTGCCGCGAAGAAACGCTAAGGGTCAAGAACAGGAATATGACGACTTTGGAACAAAAAATAATCTCGAATGTCTTCTCGAGTTGCTTGACGCATTGACAAAATTAAATTTCGGTGTGTTTGAAAATATTGTTACGCATAAATGAAAGTGTTAATATTGTGATGTACGGAAAAAAAATTGTTCTCTCTCTGAAGATTCAACACAGAGTTCCAACAGTAAGTTCCAACAATAGAGATTTGACGGAAGCATAGAGGCATTCGAGAAAGCGCCCCGAAAGGGCGGTGACGAAGAGAGCAAAAGAAACGAGCGAAGAAAACAAGAAGAGAAACAAGCCGCACCACAGTCGGAAATACACTTCACCTTGGTATGTAGAAACGCCAGGGACTTGTTCACGTTTTCAATTTTGTGAACCCGCATGCGTCCGTTGTTGGGTTTGGCGAGTCGCTCGCCGGAAATAATCTCCAGCAGCTTCAGCAGCTTCTTGCCGTCCGCGAGATCGATGAAGAGATCGTCCACCTCCATGCGCGCCTAAAAAGAAAAACAAAACAAAACAAACGGTTAATATTTTTTGTGCGCACGATTTTGTACGTTGAAATCAAATTTAATGTGTTCTAAAAAAACATTTGCATTAGAACACCTAACGCCTGTTACCTTCAACAAGAAGGAGTTGATCCATTTTGTGAACGTCTTCTTCTGGATGTGAAGACGTTCCTCCTGCAGGGCCTTGATGCGGCCCTGCTCGAATTTAAGAACGTCCTCCCTCTGAGTCATTCTTTTCTGTATCTGCGCGCCGCCCCGGTATCTATCGGCTCTCGGTGGCGGATATGCGGGAACGTATTCGAGACTACGGGTCCTTCCTTCGGATGCGGCGCTGGGCCCGGCGCCGGGCACATACTGCGCCTCTGAAACAGAAAACATCCGGCGCTTTCTAGCAAAACTAGTTTCCAGAGTTAGGGTGAAGCGGGAAACGCACAGATGGGACACGTAATTTTTCCCCGAACGAAATAATCTCGGCAACATCCGATTTGGAGGAGGAGAGAAATGCGCGCAAGACGCTGTCTTTCTGGCGAGCACGTGCTCGATGAGGCTCGTTTTTGTTTTCGTTTTCACGCAGCAGACCTCGCGTGAAAGTCTCACAAACGCAAACAAATCGCTAAACGGAAACCAGAAACCCCCCCGACCGGAGGATAAACCAAAACGAAATCAAACACACATGTGTGCGTGAGGGATAGACAATATTCAAGATCTTTGCGAGACTTGACTTCTCTCGAGTCGCAATTGAATATGTATATTTGTATATTCTAAAACCAATAAACAATATTTTATATTATAAATAAAATAGAAATCTTGTTATAGAGAGAAAGAGTAGTATTTTTTATAAACACTTTATTTTCGAAAATTCGAGGTGACAAATTTCCGAAACCAGCGACGTTTTGTGTGTTCTACAAACTTTAATTATGCAAAATCGCGACAAGAATGCAAATTAGAGTTGCGACGTGATGCTTTTACATGCAAATATTATTTACGTCGCTTGTATTGCATTTTAAGAGAGGTCGCAAATTTTATATCTCGTGCAAGTGATCTTTAAACAGGAAAAAAAAAGTTACGTGAAGATAATAATTCTCATTCCATTGATAGATTCCACATTCCATTCGAGTGACGGACGTTTCTTGTGCGAACTATTGTGTGGGACATCGATTTTCATCTCGACATGAGATGTTTCGAAGACGTTTTCTCAACTTCTGTTATTCATCAACCAATGTAGCAAAAATATTTTGAAGCATTGTTTGAATACAAAAAAAAAAAAACAAAACAAAAAAACAAAGCGTATCTCTATCGAGATGAGACTAAATGAGAAGTATTGAAGAACGCTGGAAAAGTGGACGATATTCAGAATGAGGAGAGTGTGTTTACATTAACACTTCTCCGCTCCGGGAAATAAATGGACATTCTTCTCGGAACGAAGTGCGATAACATTGCGAGAAGCGATCCGGCACAGAAGCAGATAAGAAAGAAGAATCGAAACTCGCGCAGAGAGACACGAGATTCAAACGCGACAATCGAAATCGTGACGTTTTATAGTTTTCGAATCGAAAAAAATCCACACGGTGTAATTACGCGAATCAAAATAATCGAAATCGCGTGAACGCAAAAATGTCGACTTCGCTGTAAAAGATAAATTTTCAATTCTGATAACGGGGGACAAGAAAAAATACTTAATATCTTTAAATAAAATATCCATTACACGTGTCAGGTAATAGATGCAATTTTTTGAATGCAATTCTCCGAATAAAAATAAATTAACTTCTCAATTAGTTCAAACGCACATTTAGCTAAAAAGGTACAGTTGTTACGCAAGGAAGAACGAAAAAGAAAAGAAAAGAAAAAAAAAACACGCATCAAATATCCGCACGGTAACAGTTCGAGTACGCGGAGTACAGTTACCTTATATTTAATTTTCCTCGAGAAGTTACGCGGGAGCGCGTGTTGGTGCGAACTCGCATTTCATGCGTAACAATCTCGATAATAAAAGCAATTGCACGAACACGAACGACGGTCGTGCGTGCGCGTTCGAGAGACGGAACGGACCCGTTTCTTGCCGAGCAACGCGTGACTTTGCGAGATTATTGTCCTCGCTCATTGTCATTCTGACTAATACCGCCGCTATAGACGCCGCTGTCGTAAATTTTTCTCCGACCCGTTTAAATGGGCGCGCCGTAAGCACGTAAGCGTAAATTGGACCGGCGACAGTGCGAGAGAAAAGGGCGCATGAAAAAAAAAAACAAAAAAAAAAAAAGCACGTGCGACTTTGAAGAGTCAATTATGACAGCTGCGCGCACGCGATAGTTAGCGCGCACTTGCACGTGTCCGCATTTCCGTTTTCGCACGACTTAACGCTAGACGCGGATTTGAAGCTGTCAGACTCGTCGAGCAAATCCCTTTTCACAACGAGCGTATATGTACTCGCGCGTAATTTTCCTTACCTACAGCACACAAAAAAATATGTTAAAAAACATTGAAGAAATATTGCGGGAATATCGTAGAAATTATGAATCATATTGTGAATCATATCATAAATGTTGCAAAATATGATCGCGATATCATACCGCAATCAATATATGTTGTTATCCACATAAATATACAGAAGTATTATATATATATGTATCGCGTACATATAATTTCAATATGTATATAATACGTCAGAAATATTGCGTGTGTCATCTTTGATAATATTCTTTGATAATCTAAACGTGTAAATTAACAAGTGCAAAGGTGGATATTTGCATGTTATAACGTTGCGGAAATACACGTAAATGTTGGAAGCGAACACGTCGCGAATTGCGACAATTTTTCGGGAATATCGCTCGCAACCTTGCGGGATAATGTTTCGGGCGATGTTTCGCGCCGCAAGGACGATTCGTGCGTCTCTCTCTTTTAATTAAAAAACTCGAGAGCGCGATCGAGAAGGAAACTCGCGCGATGAAGAGAGAGAGAGAGAGAGCAATGACATGAGTAACATCTTGGCCGATTTGATTAGAGCACTCGAGCGAACAGGTCGCTACCTGTTGTCGGTACGGAACGTTTTCTAACGGCAACGAGAGACGACTATCGCAGCTGTAACACACGTTACTTAGCGCGAATTCCTCGAGCGTGACGCGTTTTACACAAGTGCGCTCTCGTTCTGTGTGTGTTGTACACAACAAGTTAAATACGCGTTTCGCACGGCCACGCAGCTTACAATAGAAAGATTACAACCGTGTGCGCATGCACGTATGTACATATATCGATAGCGCGGGACGTCCCGAAAAACGGAGCGCGCACCGCTTAACCCTGTGGGAATTAGATGCGTATCAGATGCGCAAGAGTATCAGCTCAATAACCAACTTAACAAGAAATTTCCCCGGAGAGACGTGTTTTTCTATTCACAGTTTTAGATAAGAATATCTAATTCCCACAAGAATTTTTTTTTCTATAAGAGATCTGTGTGGAATAAGAACAAAAAAAAAAAAAACAAAAACAATTCCTACAAGTTTGGAAAATAAAACAATTACGGAGACTAAAACATTGATTCTTCGACAGCAGTGATCGGTGACCAGTCACCGGCGAACGATATATCAAAATTTCCGTTCGGTGTTCGTCTTATCTCGGCAGATAAGACGAACGGCAATCGCGAAAGGAGAGAGAGCGATAATTAAAAAATTATTTTCCCGTATATTACTTTGTGCGCGCACGTTACGTTTGTAAGCGAGACACACACCGCGCAGAAGTCTAATTGCGTCCAATATAATCGGACACTTTGCGCGAGTGGGTTATATAACCAAATAAAATATACAATAATAGCGCGACAAGATCTTTTTTTTGTTCGAGACAAAAAACGAGACGTTTGCGCCTTGTACGTACGTTTGCCAGCGTGATACTGATTATGCGCCATACTGTGTGCCACCTTTGTATCTTCGCGCGGCGACAAATTATTCGCGCGTTATTCGAGCTCGCATTACAATTTTCACACACTCGAACAACATCCCGATTTTATCGCCGAGAATATATTATAAATCGATAAGAAAAAAAAAGAGAGAGGTACGCACGCGAGGTAGAACACCAACGGACGAACGGTGGTGCCCAACTGACTCGATTGCCGGTCGAAGACCACTGACAGGACTCTTATCACGTATCGTATATATATATATATATATGTATTATGTCGGTCGGCTTATTTATGTGTAGCAGAAGCGCTAAGTACACGTATACATGCGCGGCAACATAGGCGTAGAAACCTGTTGGAACAGAAATAAGCAATTAATGGAACAATAAAAAGAAGCTAATGATGTCACTCGACTCATCTCGCTTCGAGAGAAGAAGCTGAATGAGGATTTTTTTTTTGTTTTTTTTCAGAGAAAGGAGAGAGACACAGAGAAAATGAAAGGAACGGGTTTATGAGAGTGATTATAAGAGCGCGGTGTCTGTCAATCGCGGAGTCGCAACAATGCGATGCAGGAAGCGCGAAATCGCAGCGGAAACGTGACGATTACACATCGGGAGTGGGATCGAATTTTTGACTACTAAGCATCGTCGTCGCCATGTCGCACCGTGTGTCTATCGAAATTTTGCGCCAATGAACGAACCGAACGAAATAAGAGATTGTATCTTATCGAAATCTATGAGAATTGAGCGCCTGGTACAATTAGCGATTAGATTAATGAGAAATTGATAGGAAATAAACGAAAATGTTTCGTAATGATGAAAAATAATTATCAAAATACAACTACACATGTGTGAAATTTTAACGTCGCGTATTAAAAAAAATAATTTTAATTCGACATAAAAAAAAAAAATCTTCACGCTCTGTTCCACAATTTATAAATATTAAATCTATCGCAAATATATTCAAATCAATTATATTTTTTAATATTGTATCTAATTGCATCCTAATAAATTGCGCGCATCTATGGCTTCGAGATAGTATTTTTCAAATAAAAATTTTAGAAAATTCAACTTCGACACGAAGAAATCGCGAAACGCGAGCGAACGTTTTCTAGATTTAGCCGCCAGATTGCTGTTCGATCGGCTTGGAAACGCTCTAGAAATCGAACGTGCGCGCAGCGAGAAAGATACCGATACTGTTCGAAAGGGCATTGTTGTTGCCGGCGCAGGAAGCGCGGGATTGCACCGGAAATACGGTGAACGCACCGAAAGAACCGGAGAGGAACTGCAAAGAGAGTATAGCGGACTAGGTGAAATCAGAAACCGTATATATTATTTATCAGAGAGTGATAAACGTTCTCTCTCTCTGCGTGTCGTCTGCACAGTGTCAGCCCGTAAACTCTCTGTTGACACTGAGATAACCGAGGCAAATATTAAATCAATCTTATATCGCACGCGCGTGTACGCGCAATCTAACCGA